GGGGAGTGGGATTGAATTGGATAGCTCTTTTGAAAGACCCGGCTCCTTCTGTGCTGTATAATTTTATGATTCTATGAGAACAAGCATTGAATGAGCTTTAATTTCCTTCAGCTGAACATCAACAATACTGAAGTTATCATGTTTCTCACCAGTGTTTTCTTACCTGATTTCACCAACCTAGTTATTCCATCTAGTTATCAAGCTGGTCCACAGCCTTAGAGTATTGTCTGACTGTCCGATCTGCTTCAAATTTAACATCCAGTCCTGAACCAAGACTGCTTTCTTCAATCTCTGCAAAGTCACCCCTATCGCGTCCTATCTTACCCCAGTGCAGCCCAAACCCTCATCTAATGCTTTCATCACATGAAGACTAGATTTATTATTTTTATTAATAATAATAAAGAATGCTAAAGAAGATGCTAAAGAATAAGAATTCTTACATTTGCCTTTCCAGGATATACTGTAAAGTTCAATAACTGTCTATTTTGTAGATAAAACGCAGCAGCTAATTTGCACATACCAATGTACCACATCAGACATGAAATGATTTTTCCATAGCTTTCATTGCTCGACCCTTGTTTAACCCTACATAAGCACCATATCATATAGAACTCCACAGCCTGCAGCCTGTCCAACACTAAGCTCTGCACGTCCATTACCCCCTTCACCTCACACCCTCCTAAACACAACACTTTGATCATGCCAGTCAACCTTCTTTCTCCTTCCCACCCTCTGAATGATCCACATTGTCTTTATAATGTACTTCAAAACATTATGAAAGACACTACATAAATGCAAATTGTTGTCTCAGCCTTGTGACGAATGCAGGACAAGAGGCCTCTGGTTCAGAGTTGTGCAACAGACACATTATCTAAAATCTGTTAAATTAAACTCTGTCACGAGCTGCACATCCATTGAATGCGGAAAGAATTTATTTATTTTCAGCCCTGTTTCTTTACTTGCATCGTCATGTGCAAGCTGCCGACAGTGCTGATCATTCATCACGCCTGTGAAACTATTTGTAGCACTTTTTAGCACAATTCTTGACTGCTTGTGACACTGGACATGCCTTTGCATTTCTGCTTTATTCACCAGCACAACACATTGATGATGCTATATTTATTTTTAGATTGGTTAACTGTGGGCCAGAACCTAAAGAACGAATGTAACCATAGTCACTGAGCTGTTGGCAATTCAGTACACTCATTATCTTCTCAAAAGGATTGCCATTAACTGATTTCTTGGCACCTGAGCCTCCAATCCATTATTAGCTTCTTAAACTCTGCACAAGCACAACCTAGAAAGCTTCAAGCTGGAAAATAACCCTTCACTTGGCTGTTTGTGCAGTATTGAGCAAACTTTGATGCAGAAGAATTCCCTTTACAGGTTAAAGCTGTACGTCTTTTAGGAACCCAATTTCACAACATTTGGAGTTTAATGTTCTGTTGAAGGTTAACGCCACTCTTGGTTGGCCATCTGTTTGATTGAAACCATCTTCCTCCGGCTCCCTCTCCATCTGTCCAATGTGTGGTTTAAAGCTTCCTTCCATTTGTTCCCTGAGGTGGAAATTCCATCCCATCTGTTCCCTGCATTGGAAATCCCTCCTCCACTCTATATTTTCTCCCCATGATGAATCTCTTCCATTTTCTTTCTCCACGTTCCATTACCCACACTGAAATAGGGCAAGCATTGCTTGGGGCAGGATTTCCCAATCTTATGAGAGAATACAGTACACATAAGCAAAACCTTATGCCCTTGACTGCTCAACTCTCTACAGTACTTTGTTCGTTACTTTGTAGTTAGACAAACATATTATAGTAATAATCCGTACATTTGAGAGTGTCTCAAAGCACTTCACAGGATTTACCTTGAAGTGTAGAGACTAAGTATTCTGTAATGAGGGGAAAATGGCAACCAATTTGCTACAGCAATGTTCCATAAACAGCCATGAACAAAATAAATGATCAATTTTATCTGGGAGATCATTGGCCAAGACACCAGGAGAAAACACTCTTCTCTAGAGTTATCATGTCTAGGCTCGACTATACCAACTCCCTGCTTGTCGGCCTTCCTAACTCTTCCCTCTACAAGCTGCAGATCATCCAGAACTCTGCAGCTCATGTCCTTTCTCGCACCAAGCTCCGTGACTCCATCACCCCTCACCCAGCTCCACTGGCTTCCCACCCCTCAGACAATAGAGTTCAAAATCTTAATCCCCACCTTCAAGGCTCTCCATGACTTTGCCCCTCCCTACCTCTGCGAGCTGCTGACCCCATATCAACCAGGCTTTGACCTGCTCCACATCTCCCCCTTTCCTGCTCCACCATTGGTGTCCAAGTCTTCAGCCTTTCTGGCCCTATCCTATGGAACTCCATCCCAAATTCCCTTCAACTTGCTCCCTCATTTGCCTCCTTCAAGGCACATCTCAAACCCATCCTCTTCGACCAAGCCTTCAGCCACCCTCCCTGCCTCACCCTCCCCGATCCCAACCCCCAGCTCGGGTCCAAATCCCTGACTGTTCAGCGCCTTGGAATGTCCTCCCAACGTAAAAGGCACTTTAAAAATTTAATTTGCATTGTAATGTATAGTACCAGAGGATCTTTAACATCCACCTGAACAGGTAGATGGACCTCAGTTTAACATCTCATCCAAACAACGGCACCTCCAACAATGCAGCACAACCCAGCACTGCATTGGAGAGGCAGTTTAGATTATGAATCCCAAATCCCAACACAGGTCTTGAACCCCCAAAACTTCTGACTCAGAAGTGACAGTGCTAGCAACTGAGCCAGGCTGACACATAAATACAGTACAGTTACATTATTACCCTAGGAGCAGCAATGTTATCAATGGTGTCTGATTCTGTATTTGATGTAAACATCACCACTGCTTTGCTATAATAATAATCTAGCACAAAACATTTTCAAACATTTGGATGGAGGAATACGTGACTGATACTCCGTTGGGCAGTATTATTATATTGCAATGCTATTCTGTAGTTCCACAATGATGGTAGCCCCTGGAACCTCATTCAAGTGGCCATTCTTCATGTTTAAGGCTACAAAAAGGAGTGTTCACCAGGGAATCAACCATGGAGGGATCATTGCTGAGATTGATTCAGTTCTCAACCCAATGATCACAATAATTCATCGTACTGAACTGTACGGTTAAGCAAACTGTCATCCTACCTCATATGAAGTTGTTGTACAAACCAGTTCAGCAGCAGCCACCGGATCAGAAGCAGGAACTTAATTAATTTTCCTTCACTTCTTAGTCCATTGAAATTTCCATATATAAGTGCCATCTACATGTGTTTGGTTTGGATACTTTTAAGCATGTCTCATTCACCAAGTTGACCAAAAACTTCCTAGTCCAAGGGTGCTAAAGCCAAATTTAGCTTCCTTAATGCTACTCCAGCTGAAAACCCCCAACTCAACACAGACTGAGTCATTGGGACTTTCCTGGTCTGGCTCAGTACATCACCAGCTGCTGTCTTTATTCTGTAAGCAAAAAGGAACCTTGGGCTCTTGTCCATTCACTAAACCAATGTGTTCTGGACAAAGCTAAGTCAGGTGTCAACCTGACTCAGTTGGCAGCACTCTCACCTGAGTCAACAAGGTTGTGGGTTTGAGTCCCAGGTTAGAGCTCTGAACTCAGATAGTTTAGGCTCTCACTCCAATGTAGTGCTGGGGGTGTGCTGCATTGGTAGAGATGCTGTCCTTCAGAAGAGATATTAAAGCAAAGTATTGCCTGTAGATTCAAGTGGACGTTAAAGGTCCCATAGCATTATTCAAAGAGAGAAAAGAGTTCCTCACAGTGGCCTGGCCAACAATCCCCCAAATGAAATTGGCCATTCAGCTGTTTGTGGGACATTGCTATGAGCAAATCAGCTGCAATGTTTGCCTACAAAATACACAGTCAGTACACCTTATAGTAAATCCTGTGAAGTGAAACATCCCCTCAAAGTGAAAGGCGCTGTATCAAATGTAAGAATTTTTAATATATACAGTAAAAGTGAAGAAAAATGTTTCTGTATTGGTAAATTAATTGGTGAATTATTCAAAATAATTGAAATAATCAAGTCAGGAATTTCAACCTAAAAAATCATTCTCACAAATATCTGAATGCTGATTTTGCCCCATTGGTGAAATGAGCTTGTGAGGAATAAGGTCGGGGTAAGTTTTACGGTGTCCTACAATGAATTTTTGCCCACAAAAATATACAGTCAATTCACTTTACAGTATATTCTGTAAAGCGCTTTGAGATGTCTCAAAGACGTGATAAGGCCCCATATCAAATGTAAGGATTATTATTATTATTATCTGGGGGAAATTGAGCTTTGAATTGACAGCTGGCAAACAATCAGCTGTGGGTGTGACTGTAAGTAGCATTGAGGAAGGCACTGCCCAATCTTGGGACCAGGGAGGCCTCAATGTTTCTAAGGTGACAGATATTTAACATATGATCACATCCAGGCGTGAGTTTGTCAAGTATCGTTCATTAAAACCATGAGCTGCGCTCAGCAACACTGAAGAGGGGAATCTGCAGTAAGAAGAGGAAGCTTACAGGTGGGTTGATTTTCCTGTAAATTATGTATATTTAAGTTGGTAAATCTGCGGAAATCTAATTGCATATTTAGTCCATAGACGTGATCTGCTTAATAAACTTTAAATTTTAAATGTAATACATTTTGCTTCTTTGCTGCCCCTTTCTGCAGTTATCTGTTTTCTAAAACTGTAGCCCAACTTTTCATTCTGTAGATTGCAACAAATCATCTGCTACTTCTGAACGATTTCAATAATCAATAATCAAGTGTGGGTTATTGGTTTAACTTAAAATCTCTCTCTCATGCGATGCCCGAACATATTTGCATTCTAAGGAGTGCAGTTAAATCACTCAAAGCAAACCTAATTTCAGACTTTAAGCAGTTTTAAGTGTTGCGAGCTGTAATATTATTGGCAATCCGCTCAAGGCATTTGCATGTTTTAGGGAGTCGTGCCATGTCACTGAAGAAGTTGAATCAAGTCAGACCACTGATCCTTGAAAATGAACTTGCACTTACAAGCAACACACAGGTAAGGCGTTTTTAGAAATGTATGAATGTAAAGGTAATAAGTGGTTATTATTAAGAACATAAGCTCTCCCTCTATGCTTGTCTTTATTTACTGTAGTTGCTTGAACTTAATGATGACGTGCCGATAGCAACAGCACCTTCCTCTGCAATTAACCACCTTCAGGGGAGGTCACTTGAGGGAAGCTGTGCACTTGGTGTCTGACTTTTTATTTTTCTCTTCTGCTTCACATAATGTGTTAATTGCAGATGATCGAGCCTTAATCTGGGCAAGTCTGATCACGAAATACAGTATATTTTTCTCTAGCAAAATATTATCACTGTACTCCAAAATACATGATATATAAACACATACAGTATACACACACATCGGCACGCACTTGCCTTGTGATCAACAGTAGCACTGTCACGTAATGTAAACCTGCATTAGCGCCACTTCAATCATTAATCTGTAGTCAGATACCAGCCATTCGCTGTCACTATTCATCCTAAAAATCTCTCTAGCTAACAAACTGAACTGAAACCAAATAAGAGCCCCCAGAAGCGCCGTCCAGCGTGAAGAGCGCTATATAAATGCAAATTGTTGTTGTTGTAATATTAAAATTACAGCATAATTTGAAGGCAATGTGCTTGTAACATAATAAACTAGGTCACTAGAGAGATTCAGAGAAAAAAAATATTTGGCTCATTTGATCTCATCCTTCCAGAATACCCACCGAGTGCCCTGGCCTCAAATATCCTTCCTGGCAATGTGTTCCAGTCATTTCTTGCCTTCTGAGTAAATAAATACTTCCTGGTGTCTGTCCTGAATTGCTCTTTTCAAATGTAAACCTATGTCCTCTTGTTCTGCTGTCTGGGTGTATCTCAATTATTGAGAGACTAGGAGCCTGCCCATCCCATTCCTTCCACATATTACATAAAAGCTTCCCTATCATGGCCTTCATGTTTAGTAAAGTCTTGGGGTTTGAGTCCTGGTTGATGAAATAGTTTATGATGTTCTCATGGGTCGCTATTGATTGAAATCAATAAATTGGCTGCCATTCACCTGGAAATACAGTCACATCACTCTACGGTTATTCCTGTGAAACACTTTGAAATAACTTGACAACGTGATAAGGTTCTATATCAAATGCAAAGATTATTATTAGTATTTTGCATTACCTTGCATTTATCTACATTAAGATCCTTCTGCCAATCCATGATCAGTCCAGATTTATTTGATTTGATTATTAAGTATTTATCACTTGGCATATAGCCTAGTATTATAACAACAACAACTTGCATTTATATCATGCCATGGGGAGGGAGATAGACAGAGGGATTGAGGGAGAGAGTTCCAGAGATTCGGGGCGTAGTAGCTGAGGGCGCGACCTCCGATGGTGGAGTGGAGGAGCCAGTTGATAAACAGGAGGCCGGAGCCAGCCTAGCAGATGCAGCGGGTGATGGAATGGAGGGTAAGCAGGTCGGATAGGTAGGGAGATGCGAGGGCATGAAGGGGTTTGAAAACAAATGAGAGGATCTTGAAATTGATCCGATTGGTAATTGGGAGTCAGTGGAGCCTGGCAAGGGCTGGGGGTACGGAGTTTTATGCAGGTGAGTATCCAGGCAGCAGAGTTTTAGTTGAACTTTGTGTACGGTGGAGCTGGGGAGACCAGTGAGGAGGGCATTAGAATAGTCTGGTTGGGAGGTGACAAAGGTGATACAAGGGCTGCTTTTGTTGTGAGGTACGGACAGAGGGGGGCAATGTGATGGAGGTGGAAAAAAGCGGTCTAGGTCAGGGAACGGATGTGGGGTAGAAAGGAAAGCTGGGGATCGAATCTCACACCTAAGTTGTGCACGGGTTTGGTGAGTCTGAGGGAGAGCCCGGGGAAGTTGAAGAGTTCAGACCCGCAGGAGAGAAGACGTTGATGGGAGACAAAGAGAGTATGGCTCCCATCTTGTCTACATTCAGTTGCAGGAAATTTGCATTCATCCAGGACTTGATGTCTGTCAAACAAGCTGACAGGACATCAGCGGTATGTTTTATAATATTATTGGAATATTAAAATACTTTACATCACACAGCTTTACTAAATAGACTTATTGTTTATCTCCCAAAGAAAACATTATATAAAACCTATTCACTTGGGATTGGCTTGATGTGTCTTTACAAGCTGTGACTCACCAAATAATACACAAATAACACAAAAGCAAATGAATTGACAAGAAAATCATGGAATACAATTTATTACTGTTTAAAATCATAAATTACAGAGAAATACTAGGACTTTTCTTCATTCAAAACTCCCCAGCCAGTATCTCCATCCCCGTCCAAACTCTGCCTGCCTGCCACTGCAGTTCTCATAAGGCTATACTGGCTCCCTGACCTGTTTTTAAGGTTTTCACCCTCACCTATAAAGCCCTTCACTCTCTATTTCTGTGGTTTTGTCACCCCATTCTACTGCTCCACTCAGCAAACTCGGGCCTGCAGTGCATCCTCAGTGGATCCTTTGGAACTCCCTCCATCTACCCTTTGGCATCTACCATCTGTGAAATGCTCCAAGACATTATCATATGTGAATAGCACAATTTAAATTTAAGAAGTAATAGTTGTTGTTGTTGCTTTCTCAATTCTGTTTTAGTGGGATTACTGGCTACTATGTTTGCTTGTGTGAGGTGGCTAACTGTGTGATCTAATTGCATGTGTGTATGTTTGTGTGTGATGTTATTATGGCACATTGGAATAACTTTAATAGTACATTCAATATTTAGTGCACTGAGTTAACCCAAATGTCAAAGGGTGGATGATCCAAAATGCCCTTCTAAATGGTGGCCTGCAAAGTCCAGACTGTGAATAAAGCTTCAATTAAGTCTGAACTGGGCTGAAGACAGTGCTGTTTATCTTTTGCTTGTTCTCCAACAAAAGGAGGTCAGTCTACGGTATCAAGAAACAGAACTATGCCAGCATCCATATTTGCATTTCATCTGTCTGTGCTGATTATTGCAGCATTTCTGAGAATGCCCCTTGGATTATAGAGAGTTTACAGCACAAAGGGAAGCCTATTCAGTCCATTGTGTCCGTTCTGACAAGAAACTCATTGAATACAGTTTACTGCTGTATAAAATCATAAAAATACAGACATACTAGAACTTCCTGTTTTTTTCATTCAAATCTCCCCAGCCAGCTTCCTGGAGCTATCGACACACATTGAAGCTAAACCCGTTCCTCTACTCTTTCCCCATAACCCTTAATAATACTTTTCCAAGTATGTATCCGTTTTGTGTGTAACAAATTGCAAGGCATTACTTGGGATTGTAGTGCTCATCAAAACCACCAAAACATCTGGACTTCTACTTGCTTCCATTTGTATGGATTAATATCAGTACTTTCATTTGTAAAGCGCCTTTCACATCAGGAGGATGTCCCAAGGTGCTGGATTGTCAGGGATTTGGACCCGAGCAGGGGGTTGGGATCGGGAAGGGTGGAAGGCAGGGAGGGTAGGAGGGTGGCCAAAGGTTCTTTTGAAGAGGAGGGTTTTGAGACGTGCCTTGAAGGAGGCAAGGGAAAGAGCGAGGCGAAGGGAATGTGAGATGGAGCTCCAAAAGGTGGGGGCAGAGAGGCTGAAGGCCCGACCGCCAATGATGGGGCAGGCCGGGCGGAGTACTTGGAGCAGGCCAGAGTCTGCTGAGCGGAGGGAGTGGACAGGTTGCTACGGGATCAGCAGGTCACAGAAGTAGTAAAGAGCAAGGCTGTGGAGGGCCTTGAAGGCGAGGATTTTGAACTCTATCCTCTGAGGAATGGGGAGCCAGTGGAGCCAGGCGAGGGTGGGAGTGATGGGGTTATGGATCCTGGTGCGGGAGAGGACACAAGCCGCAGAGTTCTGGGATGATCTGCAGCTTGTGGAGGGAAGAGTTGAGAAGGCCGATATGCAGGGAGTTGGCAAAGTCGAGCCTAGATGTGATGAATGCGTGGATGAGGCTTTCGTGGCCTGCTGTGTAAGACAGTGGCAGAGCCGGGTGATGTTGCAGAGGAGAGGGAAGGCAAAGCAGATCATGGTACGGATGTGGGGTAGAAAGGATAGTTGAGTGTCGAACAACAACAACAACTTACACTTATATAGAGGGGGCAAGGTGGAGGGATTAAGGGAGAGTGTTCCAGAGTTTCGGGGCGTAGTGGTTGAAAGCGCAACCTCCGATGGTGGGGCAGACGGTGTGAGGGATGAGCAGGAGGCCGGTGCCAGTTGAACGGAGGCACCGGGTGGTGGATTGGGGAGTTCAGAGAAGTAGGGAGGGGCCAGAGAGTGAAGGGATTTGAACATAAGCGTGAGGATCTTGAAGTGGACCATCTGCGTGTACCTTTTGGCTGCCATTCTTAATCTTAAGCCTCCTCCCTCTTCCTCGTCTACTCCTTCTTCCTCTCCTCCCCATACCCTTCCCTGGTCTAGTGTCCACTCTTCCTCCGCATGGCCCCATCAGCTTCCCACCCGTCCCCCTCTATATTCCTCCTCTCCAGCTGCCATCTCTGCCTTCTGTCCCTCCTCAACAATCCCAACTGATTAAACTGGCTCTCTGCTCCACCTGGAACTCCCTCCCCGTTCTGTATATAACTCTCAGCTCAAATCTTACTATTGAGTAGGCCTATGGTCACCTCACTCTCCGTTGCCTGGTGTCCAACCCAATGCCTGTAAAACGCTCTGAGATGTTAGCCTACATGGAGGGAACTATATAAATGCAAATTGTTGTTGTATAAGTTTGTAAAGGGCATTTGTATTTAATCAATGGTGATCAATGCTCACATAAGATAAAGAGAAAATGCAATCAAGAAGATAGATCTGTGGCATGTCGAAGATGCATTTTGTGCTAGTTTATACGCCTGTGAATGCAAGCAATTTTGCTGCAGGAGTACAGTACAAACACATAATTCCCTCAGTCCCTGGCCAATGTGTTTCAAAACCGAAAGCCTCATTTATACTTCCTGCTCTGATTCACGCTGGTTAGGGGCTGAGAGAATTAAGGTTCTACTCCTGTCTGCCTGGTCAGGTGGAGTTAAAGATCTCATGGCACTATTCGATAATAGAAGGGATGTATGATTAATTACATGATTAATTTTGACATTTTTCCTCCAGTTTTATGCCTTCCCCCACCCCACACCCATCCTGGCTCAGGTAGTGGGCTATCGAGACCACCACAGAATCAAGCCCACACTCTATGACAGTCTCTGTAGTGCAGTTACTGAACCAGGCAGGTCCACAGTATTCCAGGGCACTACTGATTACAGCACAGTGAGCCTGGCTCATCGGCAGGACGAAAGGTAGACCAGTCACTGGAGCAGGGACTTCCCACTCAGCTCCCATTAACCTGCAAGCCAAAGGGGGGTAGGTTGGTCCTAGCTGGACAAGCAGTGAGAAAGCTTGCCAGGTAGTGCTCTCAATGGCTAGCTATGCAAATTTAGCTGGTTGGACTCCAGCAGTGCCCTAACACACACACTGATGTCATCAAGCCTTGTTGTTGCCAGCCTGCGCCTAATACTCTCTGGAATTAGGTAAGTAGGATGCAACCCTTGAGGGAGGGAGTGCACATTCCATTTCAACAAATATCTCTGCAATTTCCATGTTTAGGTGAGACCGGCGAAGGCACTGAAACCCTGGTCCACGCCTTTGTCACCTCAAGACTGGACTACGGGAACTCTCTCCTCGCCGGCCTTCCCGCCACCTCCCTCCACAAGCTGCAGGTCATTCAGAACTCTGCAGCTCGTGTACTGTCCCGCACCAGGCTTCGGGACCACATCCCTCCCACCCTCGCTCACCTCCACTGGCTCCCCATCCCCCAGAGGATTGATTTCAAGATCCTCATCCTCACCTATAAGGCCATCCACGGCCTTGCTCCCTCCTACCTCTCTGACCTACTATCCCCCTACCTACCTGCCCGTACCCTCCGTTCCTCCGGCTTCGGTCTGCTCCACATCCCCCGCCCCAATCGCCCTACCATCAGTGGTCGGGCCTTCAGCCTCTCAGCCCCCAGGCTCTGGAACTCTATCCCCCAGTGCCTTCGCCTTGCTTCCTCCCTCTCCTCCTTCAAGGCCGGTCTCAAAACCTTTCTCTTTGACCGAGCCTTCAGCTCCCCTCTCGACTCTCTTCCCCTCCTCGCTCCCTCCCTTCCCTCCCCTCACCCTGACCATTTCCCCCCTCCTCGCTCCCTCCCTTCCCTCCCCTCACCCTGACCATCTCCCCCCCTGCTCGGGTCCTGACCCAACTGTGCAGCGCCTTGGGACGTCCTCCTGACGTGAAAGGCGCTTTATAAATGGAATTTTGTTGTTGTTAGGTGGGATGTATGGAATTTTAGATACTCTTAAGCATAGTGATGGGTTTCCACATGTGTCAGGCACCTAGTTGACCAAAAAAAACAAAGTTTCAGCCACATTCACCAACAAAACACATCACTGCACTATACAGTACATCTTGTGAAATGCTTTGTGATGTCCTCCTGGAATGAAAAGCAATATACAAAATGTAAGGATGATTTATATGCATATATCAGTCCCAGACCAAGAGGCTGGGGCTTGGGTCAGAGCTGTTATAAGGCCAAGGTTCCGACTCCTCTCTCACAGCCCAAGCTAATTTGGAGTGACATGAACACTCACAAGATGTTGAGTTAGCAGGCACTTTCTCATTGCCTCTCCCAAAGTCTGCTACATTACTTTCCATGTGATAGAGGATTGTCAACAGTAGGCAACTGGGACAAGACTGCTTGCTTTGAGGCATGCAGCACAGGGAGGCTGAACAATTATAGAGTAGACCTAATCAACCAACATTGTAATTGTGAGTAGGCGTCTCTAACATGTTTTGTGTTTCAACATAATTGTTAGACATAATGGCTTTTTGTCTTTTCAATTAGGTACTGTTGTTGATAAATATAGATGGATTCCAAAGCATATTACACTTAGTATTGTGGTTAGTGCAGTGCACCATGAACAAACAATTCTTGCCTGTGTTTAACACAGGTTCATTCTTTTAATATTGGGAGGTTGGGCTCATCTGGCTCATGGGTGGAGGGATTTGAGTGCCCCTCGATAACTCTACTGCTCACCCACTGACCTGCTGCCATTTACGATATGATATTTTGGGCCTCAAGTCTCATTTGGGTGCTTATGACACTAGTTCTCATTTTGTAACATAGATATAAAAGTTATATCAAGCATTTCCAATAGGTGTGTCAACTGAAATGTAGCCAACTGTTAAGTCATGTGGAGTCCTGTAGCTCAGTGGTTAGAGCACTCGCTTTGCAAGTGAGAGACCTGACTTCAATTCCAGGCAGGGCAAAACCTTGGGCAAGTTTCCTTACTCCACACGCCTAATAATAATCCCTCCAAAACTAAAAACAATAATTAAATTGGTCATTTTCAATCTACGACTGTTTGTGGGACATTGCTGTGCGCAATTGGCTGCCGCGTTCGCCCACAAATATCCAGTCAATTCACTTTACAGTGTGTTCTGTGAAGCGCTTTGGGACGTCCTCCCGACGTGAAAAGCGCTATATCAAATGCAAGGATTATTATTATTATTATTATTATTATTATTAAGTCAGTTGATCTGATTAATTTTGGGCGTGATGCATTTTCCAATTCCATGGGTATCAGTCATATTTTGGTGATTTGATTGTTTGGGGGGTTGGGAATACAGAAGAAAGGGCCGTTTACAGATTGCATAATCTTTGCAGTATAATGACTGTTGTGAAATCCTGTTACCTAGAAATTTCTTCAGTTAAAATGAAGTGCTGGGATGAAGTGGTTGATCCACCTCAGAAGCAACGAGGAATAAGACAGTAGACCAGTCCATGGGGGAAATACATGACTCTCCCACATTCTCACCCACACCAAACTCTGCAATCCTCACCAGGCTCCATTGGCTCCCTGTCTTCCAATTTTTCAAGTGAGGTGAGAGGCCATCAGTTAAGTTGAGGGAACATCCCATACCACAGTAGGAGATTGCATGAAGTCTGGCTGGTTATCAAGTCACAGCGGCCTGCCCAGGATATATTGAAGACACCCTCAAAATAATCTGGACCCCTTTATCTGAGGGGGGAGCCAGAGTCACGAGCCACGTACAAGCCTCAAAATAAAATTTGAAGCTTGTCAATACTTTAGCTGCTGACACACAAAACCCCAAAAAGGACCCCATGATCTTCAGGATTCGGTGATAGGACTTTACCCCAGGTTCTGCAAGGATTTGTGGGATTCCAAACACACATCCATTAACCTGAACTTAATCAAAATTATATTTAATGTGTCCTCACACATGCACAGTGCCTCTCTCCTCTCACATCTTTGCAGGAAGCACCTGCACAAATGGAGGAGATTGTTGCTTCCCCTTGTGTGGGAGTTCCCTCTGTTTGGGGGCTAAGCAAAAGCCCCCAAAAAACAAGTTTTGGAATCTATGTAGAACTCAAAAATTACTAAAAATAAACCCTGAAAAACACTAAAAACAGAAGCCCTAGTTATAAATCAAGCCTCATATCTGTTGTACACATCTACATGCGAGCTGCAACACTGTCTAAGTGCTAAGGTTTGTTTCAAGTTCTGCCTCTTTGCCTATGTTTTTGGTCATCTTTCCTCTCCCCACCCCACTAAGCTCCCACCCCCTGTTCAGGTGCCAAGCCAAGTATTGCAGAGCACCTTGAGACATCCGCCCAACGTGAAGTGCACTATATAAATGTAAATTTGTATTGTATTTGCAGGAATTGCAGAAAGGGGTTACGTTTTCTGAACCAGAGAGTGAAGACAGTTCGGAAGCAAAGTGGACGAGCTACGTGAGAACTCGACGTGTTCGACATACTCGGACACCATTTAAAACCGCTGCTGAACTAGGTGATGAAGCTTCGGTTAAATGTTATTTACTCACTCTTACGTATTATTTAATTTCCTCAACAATCTCACGTTATTTGTGCTACATTGTTACAAGTGTCATTAACCAAGCAGACAGAATAACGTCAATTTAAGATCCCATCCAAAGGACCTCCAACAATGCAACAGTCCTCCATCATTAAATGGATAAGGCATTAAACCAAGATCCTGTCTGTCAGTTTGGATGTTAAAGATCCCACGGCGCTATCTGAAGAGAATATAAATTGTTCATTCACGTGAATGCTGACTGTGGGACCTTAAGGTGCGCAAACTAACTGGAATATTTGCTTGTGAAATATACAATAACTGCACGACATCAATTCTCTGTGAATCCTTTTGAGATATTTGAGAGATCAATTTGAGAATCCTTTGAGAGATCAGTCCACTACTGTTTGTGGGACACTACTGTGCGCAATTGGCTGCCGCATTTCGCCCACAAAATATACAGTCGATTTATTTTCCAGTATATTCTGTGAAGTGCTTTGAGACGTCTCGAAGAGGTGATAAGGCGCTTTATCAAATGCAAAGATTATTATTATATTTCAAAGTTATTAAAAGCATTAGGATTATTGCATTTACATTCTATGAATCTTTGAATGCTATTTATCTTTTACTTGTTGCCTAGCAACATGGATAGTTGTCATCATGTATTCATCACATCATCATATAGCTATCAGCTTGCTGGCTCAGTTGGTAGCACTATTGCCTGCGTTAGAAGGTTGTGGATTCAAGCCTCATGTCAGAACTTGGGGGTCACAATCTAGGTTCAGTGCAGTGCTGGGGGTGTGCAGCATTGTTGGAGGTGCCATCTTTTGGATGAGACATTAAATCAAGATCTTGCCTACCTGTTCGAACAGACAAGGGAGTTTTTCCCGGTGGCCTAGGGAACAATTCCCCCGAAATAAATGAAATATAAATTGGTCAGTCACTTCACGGCTGTGATCTGTGGTTTCATATAAGTAAATCTTTGAAGGTGGCAGGACAGGTAGAAAAAGCTGTTAAAAAGACATACGGGATACAAGGCTTTATAAATAAGGGCATAGAATATAAAAGTCAGGAAGTTATGATAAACCTTTATAAAACACTGGTTAGGCCTCAGCTAGAGTACTGTGTTCAGTTCTGGGCACCACACTTTAGGGAGAATGTCAAGGCATTGGAGAGGGTGCAAAGGAGATTTACCAGGATGGTATCAGGAATGAAGGACTTCAGTTATCAGGAGAGGCTGGAGAAGCTAGGATTATTCTCCTTGGAGCAAAGAAGGTTAAGAGGAGACTTAATAGAAGTTTTCAAAATTATGAGGGAATTCGATAGGGTGAACAAGGAGAAACTATTTCCACTGGTGGGTGGGTCGGTAACCCGAGGACACCGATTTAAAATAGTTGTTAAAAGAAACAGAGGGGAGGTGAGGAGAATTTTTTTCACACAGCGAGTTGTTCAGATCTGGAATGCATTGTGTGAAAGGCACGAAGCCAATTCGACAACAACCTTTTAAGAGAGAAGTAGATAATTATTTGGGGAGGACAAGTTTGCAGGGCTATGGGGAGAGCACAGGGGAGTGGGATTGATTTGGATAGCTTTTTTCAAAGAGTTGGCATAGACACGATAGGCCAAATGACCTCCTTCTGTGCTGTATAATTCTATGATTAGTAAAACACTGATCGGTGTGATGTATAATCATTTTGTCATTCCCAGAGACTACGGACGCTGCAACCTATATTGGTTTGAAAAGGAATCCAGATGCAGGACAGGGGTTAATGTCAACAGATGGCCCACCATCAGCAAACAGCCAGAGTAAACCTCCCAGCTCTCCCTCCACTGCTGCTTTTCTTCAGTATTTTACCATAACCTCCAAAAAAAGTGTTGACAGCAAGGTAATATTCGGTGGTTTCAGTGAAGCCTTTTTAATTTAACACGTTTGGTGAATATTTTCCTTTAGATGGTCCTTTATTTTGTACCACTGTGTTGCTGTTCAAATATTACACAATATGTGCAGTATAAAAAAATCTACAACTGATGATATCTTTCTGGTGACGTTGGTCAATGCAACAAATTAATGAAAGAAAATGGGTGGTTGTGCAACACTAAGCACGACAGGAAGCTCTTAATGAGGTTTTGACATTTACTGACGTTTTTGGTAACGTTAACTGACAGAACGGATCCAGAGTTTGTTTAGTGAGCAGCTGATCATACAGCCTGTCAAGGTCTCTGATATGACAATTCCATTCTAATATACCCCGTCTTGTCTAAGCTTTCACTTGTATTTACATTCTCAGTGAATGGGAATTTGGGGTTCACATCACATCAACGGTGAAGCCTTTACTTTTAATTTAATGTCAATGGTAATGCCGGACTAAATGGTGGCGATATGGCGCCTTATCATGTTGTTGAGACGTCGCAAAGCGCTTCACAGAATATACTGTAAAGCGAATTGACTGTATATTTTGTGGGCAAAAAGCAGCAGCCAATTGCGCACAGCAGTGTCGCACAAACAGTTGGGGGTTGAGTGACCGATTTATTATTATTATCATTTTTGAAGGAGTTATTACCCCCAGAAAAGCGATCCGCCAACCGACTAACAACCAGGTTCCTACTTACTGCTAGGTAAACGTGTGGAGGCATGTGGAGTAAGGAAACTTACCCAATGTTTTGCCCTGCCGGGAATCAAACCCAGGTCTCACGCTTGCAAGACAAGTGCTCTAACCACTGAGCTACAGGACTCCACAATATAGGACCTCTGCAGACTTAAGTGTCAACTGTTTATAGATTTGAAGAGAAACAATATAAAGTTGACCAGAAAAGAGCACGGAATTGGGATTAGAGTGCATAGAATCGTAAAATATTACAACACAGTAGGAGGTCATTCAGCCCACAGTGCTAACTGTTTGGAAGAGCTACCAAATCAGTCCCACTCCCCTGTTCTTTCCCCATATCCTTGCAAATTTTGCTCTTCAAGTACCTATCTAATTCCTTTTGAAAGTTATTGAATCTGTTTCCGCCATCCTTTCAGGCAGTGCATTCCAGACCATAACAATTCTCTGTGTAAAACAAAATATCTCCTCATTTCCCCTCTGGTACTTTTGCTAATTATCTTGAATCTATGTCCCCTGTTTACCGACCCACCTGCCAGTGGAAACAATTTCTTCCCATCTACTCTATCAAAACCACTCATAATTTTAATCTATTAAATCTTCCCTTAACCTTCTCTGCTCTAAGGAGAACAATCCCAACTTCTCCAGTCTCTCCACATAGCAAAAGTCCCTCATTTCTGGTATCATTAGTAAATCTCCTCTGCACCTTCACAAAGGCCTTGATATCCTTCCCAAAGTGTGCTGCCCAGAATTGGGCACAATACTCCAGCTGAGGCCTAATGACTTATTAAGTTTAGCAGAACTTACTTGCTTTTGTACTCTGTGCCTCTGTTTATAAAGCCAAGGATCCCATAAGCTTTTTAAAAGCTCTATCAATCTGTCCTGCCACCTTCAAAGACTTGTGCATGTGAACCCCCAGGTCTCTCTGCTCTTGTACCCCCTTTAAAACTGTACTATTTATTGTATATTGCCTCTCCTCATTCTTCCTCCCAAAATACATCACCTCACACTTCTCTACATTAAACTTCATCTGCCATGTGTCTGCCCATTTTACCAGTCGGTCTATGTCCTCCTTCAGTCTCCTACCATCCTACCACTGTTTACTACATTCCCAAGTTTTGTGTCATCTGCAAACTTTAAAATGTTGCTCTCTATACCCAAGTCCAAATCATTTACATGTATCAAAAAGAGCAGTGGACCTAATACCGACCCCTGGGGGTGGGGGGGACACCACTGTACACTTCCCTCCAGTCTAAAAAAACCCAACTATTCACCACTACCCTCTGTTTATTGTCTCCCAGACAGTTTTGTATCATGGTGCCACTGTCCCTTTTATTCCACAGGCTTCAATTTTGCTAACTAGTCTATTATGTGGCACCTGATCAAACAAGTTCCAGGATAAGAGCTAAATAGTGAAAGACCTAGCCCCAGTACATACTTGATGGATTGAATGGCCTATTTCAGTGCTGCAGTATGTCATGCCTATGTCATGTGTTACATATCGCTTTAATGACTTAATTGGCAATTGGACAGTGACAAGGAGAAGCAAGTGTAAAAGGATTCTGGAAAAGTGACTGGGAAGATTGTGGAACAGAGTGGATGTGAGGGTTTAACCAAAGGAATTAGTGAATCACAACTGTGTTTTGGGATTTACAAACATTATACATTGATATTGTAGAAGACAGTTTAGTAATGTCCAAAGCTAGAGCAGTAATTTCTAGTGAAGGAATAATTTGGCCAAACACATTAAATGTTATCACTACATTATAAATTGGATATTTTAATCAATCTGAGTAATCAATCTAATCAATCAAGTGGAACTCTTTTGTAGGAAGAACATTTGTGCGTGCATCTGGTTGTTGCTCTCAGATTTGGCTCAAGTTTGTGCTTAGGTGGTGCGTGCAAATAGTGCTTTGTTTTTTAACGGAAAACGAAAGGGAAGGGCCAAGGCCCATAAAGTTTCAAACAAAATGGAGATAAATCATGATGAAGTGGCCAAGTGGGTTTAAAATCCTGTAAGAGTGGAAAGCTCAGAGAAGTAACAGTTTTGAGATCCAGGGAAAAGAATACAAAAGAGTTGGAGAGAATTTATATGTGGCCAGCTGGTGTCAGCCAGGTGTGGAAACCCATCACCATGCTTAAGAGTATTCAAACCATACAAAGAGTTCCACATTTGTATTAAACACGGACATTCCCCAATATCTGTAATAGGGACAATAAGAAGAGTTTTATTTTTAGTGTGGTTAGAAAATTGTGTTCATTCTTGGTCAACCTGCTTTTGGAAGGATGTCAAGTCAATAGAGGGGGTGCAGAGGAGATTTACTAGGATGATATCAGGTTGAGTAGTTTGGTCTATGAGCAGCGACTGAAGGAACTGAGACTTTTTCTGTTGGATCAAAGATTGAGAGGTGGCCTGATATAAAGACCTAGTCTTTAAAATTATGAAGGGGTTGTATAGAATCAATAGGGAAAAACTATTTCTCCTGATCGGTGAGTCAATGACTAGAGGGCATCAATTTAAGATAGGTAGCAAATGAATAAATGGGGAGGTTAAGGAGATATTTTTTCATGCCCAGAATAGTTAGTTAGTTAATGGATTGCCCTGGTGGGAGCAGAGGTTGAGACTGAATCCATATTGCTTTCAAAAGGGAACCAAATAGATAGTCAAAAAGCAGTAAACTACAGGTAAATGGGACTGAAAGGATTTCTCTGCAAAAGAGCCTACACGGATATGTTGGGCTGAATTTATAGCATTCTTCTATGCTATAAATTTCCATGGTTCTAGGAGGAAGAGCATTAGAGTGTATATATTAGAATTTATGAGGATTGAGAAATGAAAATCCAGGTGAGCAATAGCCATAATTTTATCAACAAAAGAGCAAAAGACAAGAAAGGTTACAACAGAAAGGAACTCTGGAATCAAGCAATGAGACCAGGATTGCTAATTTGACCCCAAGCCTTTTCTTGTACAACATCCTGGATTACAGTATTACAATTTAACTCTTGTAATATTCAATGTCAACAACCAAATTCATCAACCATCTCTGTTTTTCAGATTGATTTGCATTACCTGGATTCAATGCTGGAAAATGGAGCGAATATTAATGCTACTGACAGATATGGACAGGGAGTCTTACATGGGGTAATTGGTAACAGTTTATTTCAAAGAATTTGTTACAAAATATTTTTAAAATCTGCTATGGTTACAATGCTGTCCAACATTGCATCCGAGGGTTTTAGTCATGATTTTAATTAGCACAAATTCTACACCCCGTGAAATGTCAGAATTTGATCACTAACCTTCAAGGAAGTTTTTTTTAAATCACTTTGTGGATGCAAAGTGGTATAAATTGAGTCAACCTCGATTGTGTGAAGTCAATAAATAGTAGTTAAATATGATGATGGAGGCATCCAGAGTGTAATGGATAGAAAAGCTGAGGTTGAGATCAGATCCTGGGGAGGTTAAACCAGGATTAGAGAGGGGAAAAACAGCCAGGTTCCTGCTTGTGATGCCTCTCAAGCTCCCCCTACTGGCTCTGCACATGTGTGGTAACCAGAAGTGCAGAGAGATCAGGCTCTGCTGTGATGTGCTCTACAGAATGGCCGGCCAACACTCAAGGCTCACATTACCAATGGGTATCAGAGAGTAACTAGCACCCTGTGAAACTGCACTAAGGCAAGAGGATGCCAGAGCCTTGAGTAGAGAGGCATATACAAGAAGTGGGGTCTTGGAACCTTGGGGTCTAGTTTGACCCTCAACTATCCTTTACTACCCCACATCCGCACCATGACTCGCTCTGCCTATCCACACCTCCACAACGCGGCCGGGCTCTGACACTGTCTCACGCCGCAGGCCGCCGAAACCCTCATACACGCCTTCATTACATCAAGGCTTGACTATGCAAACTCACTGCTTGTCGGCCTCCCCAACTCCTCCCTCCACAGGCTGCAGATCATCCAGAACTCTGCAGCCCGTGTCCTCTCCCGCACTAGGCTCTGTGACCCTATCACCCCCATCCTTGCCCAACTCCACTGGCTTCCCATCACACAGAGGATACAGTTCAAGATCCTGATCTTCACCTTCAAAGCCCTCCACGGTCTTGCTCCCCCCTACCTCTGTGACCTCCTAACCCCCATTACCATCCTGCTCGCTCCCTCCGCTCAGCGGGCTCCGACCTGCTTCACATTCCCCGCCTTGCTTGCCCCACTATCGGCGGGTGGGTCTTCTGCCACTCTGCACCCACCCTCTGGAACTCTATCCCACAGTCCCTCCGTCTTGTCCTCTCCCTCGCCACTTCAAGACCCACCTCAAGACTCTCCTCTTCGACTGTGCTTTCGATCTCCCTGCTTCCCCTCCTGCCCTCCACATTCCCCCACTCCAACCCTCAGCTCGGGTCCATAACTCTGTCTGTCTAGCGCCTTGGGACGTCCTCCCAATGTGAAAAGCACTATACAAATGTAATGTTGTTGTATATACAAGTCAGGAGAAAATTAGAAAAATAATTGGACACATTAAATTTTAAAAAAAGTAATTCAAATCATACACAGGATGGTATCTCATGGGTCATTCACAGATTGTAAAATACTGGAAGAAATGTAAAACAGTGTAAAGTACTGTACACTATGCAGGAAGGTCATCTGTATGAGGGAGAATAACAACAAAATAAAATAATAATCTTTGCATTTGATGTAGCGCTTTTTCATGTCTTCTAGACGTCTCAAAGCGCTTCATAGAATAAGCTGTAAAGTGAATTGACTGTATATTTGTGGGCGAAACGCAGTAGCCAATTGCGCACAGCAGTGTCCCACAAACAGTCGTGGATTGAAAATTACCAATTTATTATTTTGTTTTTCGGAGGGATTATTATTAATATGCAGGTATTTGAAAGACTGTGGTCTTGGGACGTCCTCCCGAACTAAAAGGCTCTGCTATAAAGGTTCATTTGTATTGTATTTTAAGGTGAATGAGAGATGACTCCAAAATAAAAACATGAAGCATGGAATGAGAAAAGGGTCAAATGATCTATAAAGCCTATTGATTCCACAGCCTATACAGGACCTACTATTGTATAGACTCCACGCTGCTTCCCCATTTTACTTCCAAAAAGGAAAAGCAATGCATGGCTATTTCCTGATTCCCAAAGGTAACCTTCCAAAAGTTGCAAAACATTTTCCACCTCCCATATCTCTCCTATTGAACCCTGCACACAAAATTCACTTCAAAGTTAAGTCCGAATTCAACAAATTGCCAAATTCCAGATGCTCTAAAATGCTGCGGAAATCAAATAAATCTACAACCAGATAGAATTTCTCCCCATAAGACTCATAAATTTATGGAAGAATTAGACACACTTGCCCACTAAGATTACTGATGATCAGGAATGGTTTCAAAATGGTACAGACTCGATGGTTTAACTGTTTGATCTTTCTGTCAACAGGCAGCTCATGTATGGCACCCTGATGTTGCCAGGTATTTTATTGAGAGACAGGCTGATGTTACTATCGCTGATAACTATGGTGTGACTCCACTGCATGTGGCAGCAGCGGTGGACTATCCTGAAATGGTGGCCTTTTTGCTTGACATCGGTGGTAAGAATAATATTCTAATAGCCTTATCCGTCCTTCAGATGAAATGTTAAATCAAGGTCCCATCTGCCTGTTCAGGGGACATTAAGAATTCCATGACACAATTCAAAAAGTGAAGGGAGTTTCCCAGTGTCCCCAAGATAAAATTGGTCGTTTATTTCATAGTTGTTGTGGGACATAGCTGTATGTAAATTGGCTACTGCATTTGTCCCCAAAGTACACTTCATTACACTTTACAGTAAAATTGTGTGAAGCAGGTTGAGATATCCTCCTCACGTGAAAGGCTTTATATACCAAATGCAAGTTTTTTAAAAATGTTATTATAATTTTGACAGCACCAACCTGCGATTGTATAATGCCTTTCATGGTGAAAGGATATCTTAAATCACTTAGAAGATATAATATAGAGCACTTGAAAAGGGAGATTTAAATAGGTTGACTAAAAGCACAATTGAAGAGATATGTTTTTAACAGGGCTGACAATGATACAGCCAGGTTCCTTCTGAAGGCAATGTCCTCAGGAAATGAGTGTTCAATCAGCTAGGGCATCAGGCTAATATTACTTCATAATTAATAATCTTCAGAATTAAATCTTCCTCCCCAAGATAATTAACGACTGGAACAGGTTTCTAGGAATGCTAGTTGAAATCAGGATACCGGACTCATTTAAGAAACAGTTTGATGCTGTAGTGGGAGGAAGTGGGTGGGTATTCGAAAAGGATAAAATTAAATGGGTTAAAGAGCCTTATTTTTCTGAGGCTCTCATGATTTATGTTGAGAGCTAGTCAGATCAGGGGTACAATTTGGTGGCTTGTTTGATCGCTTTAACAACCCCGCTTTAACAAATTTTTTTTTTTTGATCAGTTTAAAATCCCTGCTTTTACTAATTTTTCTTGAAGAATTTTGCATGATTCTGTACCACCGTAAAGTTAAGACACAATGGTCTTACTGACTCAGACAAGACAAGGTGGTATTTCGGGCCTTGAATTTCATGGTCGGTTTTGTGCTTAACAATGCCTTGTGACATTGCCACCGGTTTAGTTTAGCACACAACCCAGCATGTGTTAATGTCAAATCAATAATCATTGTACAATTGTAGTACAGTGCAAATTACATGAATGGGTATAACTTCATTTTCATTTCTAATCACTTCAATTTTGTAAAATAGTTAGACGTTTGTTAAGTGAAAGGTGACACATATATAAATTGCATCCTATTTATTTAGCGGACATGGAAGTGAAGACAACTGGGATGATGCAGACCCCTTTACATTATGCGGCAAAGTATGATGCCATTGATTCCCTGAAGTGCCTGTTGAAACATAAAGCTGATATGAAGGCAAGAGACTATAAACAGCGGACACCTTTGCAACTTGCAGCAGAACTTGGTAAGGTTCACTGTCTGTGGTCCTGAACCTCTATATTTATACCTATTAATTCCATCATGGACTATCTGCTCTTCTGTCCACTATGTATATTGCTTAAACAATTGTTGCATTCCCCTTGCAAGCTAAAATTTTCTTTGAGACATTTGCCATGTTCTGGGTGCCTAAAGTCCATATATATTTCCATCAAGGGTCACTGGATAGTGATTGAGGTAGAAAACCTCCCAAGCTTCGGGAACTTGGGGCTTTTTTGTTGTGCCCCTAAACTATTTCAACAGCAATTACCAGCACATTCCACTGTTAGCCAGCTAGCCTGAGGTGATACTTAGAGACAGAAAACGCCCTGACTATGTTTGGGGGAAAGACTTATAATAATAATCCATTGATGTAAAGACCAACTGGTTTGAACATTAACCAACAAAAGTGATATCAAAAATAACATTACAATAATCTGAGACCTGACAAGTACATACAGATACAACTATAATCCATAACAAACCAGATATCATAACAAACCAAATAGATTGTACATATAGTATTATTGATGTGACAACAACAATTTGCATTTATATAGCACCTTTCAATCGGGGTAGCATCCCGGAGTGACTAACCGAAAAGATTACAATCTAAGAAATAAGGAACTAGAGAAGCTCAGGAAAATATTGAACTATAAATTAAATGCGGACGTATGTGGGAATGTAAAACAAACATAGTTCCTAAAATTATCAGTGCAACTGCAACTGTTATAAGACTATTCAGAAATGGCTTGAACAAAAATATCAATATCCTACAAAAAGTAGCTATTTTAGGAAGTTCAAACGTATCGAGAAAAGAAACATCCATTCATACATAACGTGGTAATGTTATTGATCTGGCTAATCCATCACTGAAAACCATGTAGAAACTGCCAGCATAGAGTGATTTAAACTGTAATAACTTAATAATCCTTGCATGTGAGGGCATCTCAAAGCACTTCACAGGATAAATTGTGAAGTGTAATAACTTGTGTGCAATATCCACCAGATTTCCAATAATTACAATAATACAAGTGTTACCAGGGACACCCATGCATACATATGTGGCAGTTGCCACTTTACAAATTGGAGCTAAATCTGGATGATAGCACCATGTCTCGGGTGGAATAAAGTCAGTGGCCACCTTGTGAGATCTAAAATGGATCTAGTGTGAATAGGTTGCAGTATTTCCCGTTTCTAAATCCTTCTCTGTATTTGCAGATCGCAGTGAGGCAGCTCGATTACTCGTGGGATTTCAAGCGGATGCAGGAGTTTACGATAATACTGGACAATTATGCTTGACGTTGATGGTAGCAAACATGCCTCCTGTTGTAAGTGCAACAACTTGCATTCGTGTAGCACCCCTCACGCAGGTTAGTGTCCCAGAGCACTTGACAGTGGAGGAGCGCGATGATGAGCTGGGCGGATGGTGGGGGGTACCTGTAAGCATGGTCACCCTCCTCTTGAAGAAATACATCTTTAATAAATGTTCACAGACACATCAAAAGGACACAACCCAGGGTTGAAAAGCAATTATTCAATATTTATGCATGAAGATTAGCTACTGGTGAGGAGAAATTCCACCTGGGTCTCCTACTGTTTATGAAGGATTTTTAAGGTACCAGTCAATGTCTCCTGAAGAGAAGGGAAGAACATTGGAATGGTGAAAGATAAAAGTACCTTTTGAGGAATGAACTATTTTTATTTTATTGTATAAAATATCTTTCTTTCTGAATCCAACAGGCAAATGTGGCCCTAGATCAGTTTTTCATTAAAGACCGGGCTAACAGAAAGCAATACTTCAAGTTGAACGTTTTGGTGCCTCAACCCTCAGGTCAGAAAAAAACTCCTTTATCAATGATTGTACAAGGTAGGAGTTGATTAGATAAGGCAAAGCAGGATTAGGCAAGTTTGAGCTCGATTAGACAAGCTGGGGCTCTTCAGTCTTGAGACACATCATCTCAGAGGAGACCTTAGAAAGGTACATTGTATAGCATTTTAAAGGGGACTGAAAAATAATAACGATACTTTAGGAAGCATCAAGATAGTAGAAACGACTGGAACAGGTTACCAGGAAGGGTTGTTGCTGCCAGGACACTGGACTCATTTAAAAAACAGCTTGATGCTGTGAAGGAAGGATTGCAGGTCAGGTATTCTGGAAGGATGAAATAACATAGGCCAAAACGCCTCCTTCATCTTAAGTAATCTTGTGATTTTGTGAATTAAAAGATCGAGTTATTTTACAGCTCGAGTCCCATATAAACTGAGACACAGCTGAATATTGGGTAACCATATGAAAGCATTTTGTAGCTAGGATTTCCACTATTGTCAAGGGATATCTGTTGCTAAGCAAGTTAGACCAGTGTCAAAATGCCAATCCGCATGTAATAGGCTCTCTCTGGACAAAGACAGCCCTTTGTTATACACTTCCAGAATCTTCATCTCTTTGCCAAGTTCAGACGATATGCGTGACATAGTTGTAGAGCAAAGAAAAACATGTTTACAGTCAGCCGTGTTATAACTTTGAGTTTGCAACTCTGGAACAATGACTGTTATTTGGCTGGGCATTTCTGGTTCGAGAGCTCCTCCAGCTTGAGACCTTCTCCAGAGAGAAACACAAGACCATCAGCAAGTAACTCCCATTCGGTATTCCAGCCCTCATGGCTGCAGTTTAGTGAAGGGGTTTGAGAGCGGTGGTGTAATGCACCTCAGCCCAGAAAAATCAGTGTCTCAGTGGACTGGGATGATACTGAGTGCTAATGTGGTGACATTCAATGACAATCAGTGGTGACAACAACAACGATAAATTACATTTATATAGTGCCTTTCACGTCAGGAGGACATCTCACCTTGTCAATCTTCCAGGGTCTCCAGAAGTAGGAAACTAGTGCATCATGGATCCACTGTGTTATCATGTTACATCTGAACCCACGGTATGTTGAGGTAAATTATAATGGGTCCAGACTCTATTTATATCACTGAGGGTATAAGGTACTTACCTGATACCGTACATGTTATTCTGTCAACTGTTTACTATTGTCCCCAAACTTGGTGTTATTTTGAGGGTAATTGTGTAGCATTTCATGACTTGATTGGACATTAGAATTCTCACATCACATCAAACTTACGTTACGTAAGAGCAGAATGTCAGTCGATTATTGACTGCAGTTTGCTATAAGCACTCCCTGCAACACAGTGCTTTGGTTTAGCCTAGGGGAGCTTTATGAAGCTTTTGCTCGCCATTGTGGATTTGAGGTGAGTAGCCAACATATTCATTTTACCTAATCTTGAGGCAGCCTCCGAAGTTCTGATTACAAGGTGAATTCTATCTTAGTTGATGAAATACATCATTTTTCACAATCGAGAGAAAAGATCTTAAGGTTCGAAGCTGCCAAAGTCCTACAACCTTTCACCTTGAAGTCGCCGATTGAACACATCTTTGGCAAATACTGACTCAGAATTAAGTTTAAAAAGTAAGAATTGAAACTTAAACCATTGTTTCAGGTGTCAGATGAAGGCCTCAGATTCATTGTTAAGTTAAAAACATGGCTAGCATCTGAACTCTGAAAACCTCATCTAAGAAACCATTGTCTGCATGATAAGGGGGATGTTCATGAAAAACAATTTTGTGTTACTGTTTTCTGCACTTTTACTTTAATCTCATTCATATACTGTAGTATCTTACAAATTTATGACTCATTTTGCTGTTTAGTAATAGTGATTTTCCAATATCTCATTCCAAACAGAGAACAATGATAGCCGAACAAAGTCTTTTGTAAGTATTATCTCATCTGCACGTGTTGTGTTGAGGTTCTGGGAAGTGCTTTCCCTCTCTCAGTCACTGTGCACACAATAAATTGTTTCATGAGACCAATGATCAGTTATCTGGTAGCACTCTTGCCTCTGAGTCAACAGGTTGTTGGTCCAAGGCCCACTTGGATGCCATGGTACTCATTATCGTATAGGTTTAACACTCAATTAGAGTGCTGGGGGAGGACTGTATTGTCAGAAGTGCTGTCCTTCAGATGACACGTTAAACCAAGGCCCTATTTGCCTGTTCAGATGGATGTTAAAGATCCCATGGCACTATTTGAAAAGAAAAGGTGTTCTGTCCAACAGACCCATAAATAAAATGAGTCATTTGTTTCATGGGACATTGCTGAGTACAACTCACCAACACAGTCAATGAACTTTACAATACATCCTGTGAAGCGATTTTGGATGTTCTCCTGATGGGGGAAAAAAGCCTTAGCAAATATAAGTAGTAGTACCTGTAGAAGCTTATGTTCCGAAACAAGGTCAAGCTCTTTCTTGAACCTCTTTCTTGTAAAGGTCACTTATCATTACTGTTTCTTTGTGTCTGAATATGTGGATTCCTGTAGCTCAGTGGTAAGAACACTCACCTTGCAAACGAGAGACTGGGTTCTATTCCTGGCAGAGTGAAATGTTGGGCAAGTTTCCTTACTCCACATGCCTCTGTTTAACAAGTAGTAAGTAGGAACCCAGTTGTTAGTCAATTGGTGGATCGCTTTTCCAGGGATAATAATCCCTCCAAAAAAAAACAATAATAATTTGGTCACTCAATCCACGACTGTTTGTGGGACATTTCTGTGTGCAATCAGCTGCTGCGTTTCGTCCACAAATATGCAGTCAATTCACTTTACAGTATATTCTGTGAAGCACTTGAGACGTCTGGAAGACGTGAAAAGTGCTATATCAAATGCAAGGATTATTATTATTATTAACTGAAGTTTCTGATACCAAAATGCAAGCACATTAAACTTGTCCCATATGTGCTGCCAATAATATTCATCATAATAATAATCTTTGCATATGATAATAGCGTCTATGATATCTTGAACATCTCAAAACTTTTCAAGTATCTGTACAATGACTGTATTTGTTGGCAATATTGATGTATATCATAGAATGTATACAGTCATTACAGAATATACAAGGCAAGACGATTTACATTTATTTAGCGTCTTTCACATCAGGAGGATGTCTCAAATAGTTTGACAATACTGGCTAGGCACTCGAGCTGGGGGTAGCAGCAGAGAGGGTTTGGGAGAGGAAAGTTGACCGAAAGTTCGGTTAAAGAGGTAAGTTTTAAGTCAGCGCCTTGGCACGTCCTCTTTGAAAGGCGGTATATAAATGCAACTCGTTGTTGTTTTTGATGACAGGCCTTGAGAGATGGGAACGAGAGCGCGAGCGAGTCAGAGAACGTGGGCAGAATGGCTCAAAAATATATTAATAATATAGCATCCAATTTCAACTTGCATTTCTGATAATGAGTGATTTCTGAATATTTCAATAGCGATACACAGTATCAGGATGACATCAGCTATTACCTGAAAGTTACCTGTTTGCTGCTTTTCTGAGTAACGTGTTCAACAGTGAAGTGCCATTGATGTCAGAGTTCCCGCTGCTGAGTCACATTAACATTCTCTTCAGCTCTATGTTCCACGTCCCAGTGGATATTAGGCACAGATGTTCCATGAGATGAAAAATATAACAGCATTTCCCACAGAGATCAATTTCTCACAATGTCTGGAAGAACGATATACAGTATGATTCTTTCGCTATAGTGCAGTCTTGTTGGAATTGAGCTGGATCTGATTGCCAGGGAACTGTTTATTTATCATTAGAGTCTATTCATTTCACATAGAAAAAATTGGAAAATTCAGTCATTCCAGTGGCCTATGTAGATGTGGCCAAAGGTGAAGCTACAGTTATTAATCAAACGCACAGTAACATGCACACGGCATGATAAAGCAAAGGACTCTTCCATCATATTTTGTTGCAGGCTGGTAATTGAGGTGTCAACTTGGCTCAGTTGGTAGCACTCTCACCTCCAGCTAGAAATTGTGGATTCCACATTGCTATTTGGGCTCATAGTTTAGGCTGACTCACTACTGAAGTACTGGGCAAAGTGGTGTGAATTAGTCTGTTATGTGAGTTGTGCAAATGAAGTGTGAATATGTGTATTATGTCATTTGTGTAAATAATAATAAAATAATCTGTGCATTTGGTATAGCGCCTTACCATGTCATTGAGACATCTCAAAGTGCTTCTCAGGATTTACTGTAAAGTGGATTGACTATTGTGGATACCCAATTTTATTTGTGGGAATGTTGGCCAGGACAGTGGGAGAAACTCCCTTCCTTTTTCGAATAGTGCCTGGGGATCCTTAACATGATGTATGAATGTGCGTATCATGTGAGCGTGTTACTGATGTCTGAATATTATGTGAGTAGTGTAAATGGAGCAGCTTTGATTAAATTTAAAGGTGATTTGAGTGATGTATACTTAGGAACCAATGAAAGGATTGCAGTATCACTTAGAATCCTTTACTGAATTCCTTTTGATTTGGTTAATGCAAGTTATTGTTGTTAATGGCAGCAGAAATTCTCCCTTTAAACGTGTGTTTATCAATGATTTACACAATTCACATAATAAAACCTAAGGATAAATTGGTAGTCAAAATATAGTTTTTTCAGAGTTTGTTTTAAAACTCAAGAAAATCTAATTTCATAGGTTTGAGGTTAAAATAGTAATATTTTTTACATTTGATATAGGGTATTTCATGTTGGGAGGACTTCTCAAAACGCTTCACAGGATTTTATTATAAAATATAGTGACTGTGTACTTTGTAGATGATTTCGTTGTCCTTTCATCCATGAACCTGTTACTAAATTGCTCCTCTCTCTCTGCCTCCACTTGTGTTGTAGCTGGAAGTCATTGTTCAGTATCGACAGCTGGACCTCATTATGCATCCAGTGGTGCAGAAATTAATTGAAATTAAATGGAAACACTTTGGAATGTAAGTGTAAGTTTTGGAAGCCAGTTCTATTTTGTATTTGTGGTTTGTTTGCTGCTATTTGAGTGTAAAGATGTTGGATTTCATTGCTTTAATTTAGGCGAGGAGTGACTATCCATCTGACCCTCAATATCCTCTTCATTATCTCATGGACAATTCTGGGGATCGCTTCAACACTGACTGGTATCAATCAACAACGCTACAAACTACCTGAGGTAAGTAGGATAATGTTAGGTTAATGTGAATTCATCAATTTAGAATTCCATCGTACGTAATAGATTAATATTTATATTCAAAGGAAATGTGCTTGAAGTAGATCAGGAATAGGAATTTAGGAGTATATAGGCAGGAAAAGAATAGCATGTTCCATGGGCATAAAAGACAATATTTATAACAGAAATTGCTAATAGCCACTCTGAGCTGCCAAGTATTAGCTCCCGCTGGAAACTGAATCATACTGACTGATGGGAACGCCACTCTAACACAATTTATGTCCAATTACCAGAGTTTCCTGCAGGTTGGTGTCATGCACTTTGGGTGCCGACGAGAGATGCTATTTGCAATTTATGTTAAAAATATTGCATTTTAAATCCCCATCTGGCCAGCCCCAAAGGGATTTTTTTTAAAAAAAGGTTTTCCTTCATTTCTTACACCTTCAATGAACATATTTGGCAAATTGTCTAATCTGCTCTTGAATTTTCTGACATAATCGCCCTCCACTGTCCCTCCGGGTAGTTTGTTCCATATATTCATTGCTCTGTGTAAAGTAGTTGAATTTAAACTATCTGTTCACATTCCCTCTTCTGAGCTTGAGTCTGTGACCTGTCTAGATTTATTCTTAAACATATCAGTCTATACTTAATCCTATAACCTTCAATTCTGTCCCCATCCTTATAAACTCTAGTTCTAACCCCTTCCTTATAACCTTCAGTTCTGGCTCTTCCTACGCCCTCCAGTTTGTCACCATCTTTATAATCTCCAACCTGGCCCTATTCCAGTACTTGCCCCATTCCAATAACCTCCAGTTTTTTTTTAAGGATTTAATCAACACAGCATCATATTATTTTATTGGGAAACCTAAATGAGGATACTGTAACTCCATAGTCCGAACACCACCAAGAATAGAGAGAGTGACATAATAATCCTTGTAATCCTTAACAGTTTGATACAGCGCCTTATCAAATCTTCAAGACGTAAAGTGAATTGACTGTATATTTTGTGGGCGAAACGCAGCAGCCAATTGCGCACAGCAGTGACTCACAAACAGTGGTGAATTCAGTGACCAAATTATTATTGTTTTTTATTGATTTTTTTTAAGGGATTATTACCCCTGGAAAAATGATCGACTAACAACTGCGTTCCTACTTACTGAGTAAACAGAGGAGTGTGGAGTAAGGAAACTTGCCCAACATTTCACCCTGCCTGCGAGGCGAGTTCTCTAACCACTAAACTACAGCAATCGACAGAGTTTTAAAACACATCCTTAGAATCACCAAACCACCTCTTCTTGATTCATGTAACTTTTAAGAGGAATTATATTAATATACAGAGAGGAGAAATATAAAAAGATACGAGGAAAAGGCAGGAGAATGGGACTAAATGAATGCCCTTAGAGCAGGGCATTTTTTAACAAATGAAGTGGTGGGAAACATCACCCGTCGGCAGTCACCAAGGGGTCACCGTTTAGGCAGTGACGCTGTCCTATCTGTAGTGAGTCTTCATCAGACTGGCTAGTATTGTCATGTATCTGGAACATGGCGGCTCAAGATATGTGACGTAACTGTAACACCGACCTATTTCTTATTTTTTAAAATTTTATATTCACTTAATGTTTCTGGATGCAGGATACAAGCGCCCCTTTGAGCTTAGGCCCCACCAGTGAAAATTCCTTAAACAAATGCCCTACTTTAGAGAGTTAACACAGGCACGAAGGACTGAATGGCCTCTTCTCGGCTGTAAATTTTTACAGTTCATTGTTCTTTTGTGCTATGGTTGCAGGACTGGTGGAAGATTCTTGTGGCTCTGGTGGCAGTTGGTCTCACTCTCTATCAGATCACAGATGAATTCATTGAAATCCACGCTTCAAAGAGAAAATTTTCTCAGTGGAAGGAATGGAGAAACCAGGAGATAATGAAGGACCTGAACCTGTGCCACCCAAGATGGCCAGAGGTACAGCAATGTCTGGACAAACACTCTGGAAAAATATACAAGAAAAATAACGAAAATACACTGCAACTTTTCAAAATGTGTTTAAAGTTCAATGTTTCATTTAAATAATGTGTAATGTACCAACATCACAATGGATTTGGAGCATATTGGTTAGAGTAGAGCACTTACCTCACAAGCAAGAGGACCCGGGTTCGATTTCCAAGCAGGACAAAACATTAGACAAGTTTCCTTACTGCACACACCTCTATTTACCTCGGAGTAAGTAGGAACCCAATTGTTAGTCAACTGGCGGATCACTTTCCAGTGTTCACAATTCTTAAAAATATATAAATAAAATAATAACAATTTTGGTCACTCAATCCACGACTGTTTGTGGGACACTGCTGTGTGCAATTAGCTGCCATGTTTCACCCACAAAATACACAGTCAATTCACTTTGCAGTATATTCTGTGAAGTGCTTTGAGACATCTCAAAGATGTGTTAAGGCGCTATATCAAATGCAAGGATTATTATTATTACCATAAACTACCAATAATAGAGTTTTAGGACTTGGGGGATGGGATTAGAATAATGAGTTCTCTGAGTTCAGCCAGTGTCACTTCAGTTAAAGGAAGGAGGCAAATCATAAGGAAGCATTGCCGAGTGTTGTCCACACATGTCCTTACCAGATGAGTACAGTGTATTTGAGAGGCCTAGAAGAAGCAATAGGAAAGAAAATGCAAGGAAAGTGGGGGAAAACACTCTTAAAACTATATGTAGGCTCTTCTAGCACCAAATCCTATCCTGCCTCCTTGATCAAAAGGATAATGAATGTTTCATGTGAGGGAAATATTTGCCTGGATTATTGTCACTGTCATTGTTTGTAACGCAGAGGCAAATCACAGTGTTTCATAATTCTGTCTTTTTGATATGAAATGCTACAAATTTCAGCTCACAGCTATGACGTTGCAGAATTTCATATGCAACTGAAGTGGTAGTGTAAAACAGCTTTTGTCATAGCTTTAGACTGTCATTTTGATAAACAGTTGTACGAGTTCCACTGGTTCATGACCCATCCTCCCTTCAATTTTCTTTTGTTGTCCCAGGAAGTGTAGACGGAATGCCCTTTCAACAACAGCAAGATTCCATTTATAGAGCGCCTTTCCCTTTCAATGGCAAATTAATAATAAATAATAATCCTTGCATTTGATATAGCACTTTTTCACGTCTTCTCGACGTCTCAAAGCGCTTCACAGAGTATACTGTAAAGTGAATTGACCGTATATTTGTGGGCGAAATGCGGCAGCCAATTGCGCACAGCAGTTCCCACAAGCAGTCGTGGATTGAAAATGGCCAATTTATTATTGTTTTGTTTTGGAGGGATTATTATTAGGCGTGTGGAGTCTGGAAAGTTGCCCAATGTTTCGTCCTGCCTGGGATTGAACCAGGTGTCTCGCTTGCAAGGCAAGTGCTCTAACCACTGAGCTATAGGACTCCATTGTATGCATATATGTTGATGCATGTGAAAAAAAAAGGGATTGGCCTGAGGGCTGGGGTAAGATTATTCCCAGAATAGGACACTGCAGTACAGCTTGGGTTCACTACCACAATTCACATTTTCTGTTCTCAATGGTGTCCAATTTGTATGATTTTCTAAAAAAATTGTACTTGACAAATGCTATAGGTACCTGAATATGTCTGAGGCCAACCCTTCAGAACTCAGAACAGCCCGACCTCCATTCTGACTTCCTTAAGGCTGGCTATAAAATGGCCAAAGGAGGTTCCTGTCATCCGGAAAGAGATCAGTGTATGAGTGGAATTCTGGAGAGTTGGCCTCAGGTACATCTGGTTAACTACAGCATTTGCTATTTACAATTCCTTTTTCAACTCTTACAAATTAGATCCCACTGTTGACTGAGGAGAGATGCCAAAAGGAAGCTAAACATTTCGAGCAGAGGGAATGGGGAAGGAAACTTGCTATAAATAACTAATGATAGGAATGGGGATATACACAAAAAATGTCCAAGATTTTTAATTTAATCAATTACAGGGGGTTTAGCAGATGTTTCAGAGGGGCATCCTTTCAACAGCTGCCCATTTTATCATTTCAAAATGCTTCATTTTCTGTGTCGGCTGCTAATGATTTGACCTTTAACATTGGCTTTCGCATCTAACTTGAGAAAATGACAATTTGCCTTTCCTGCTAGGAGAAGACGTATCTAAAGAAGGAGCTTTCTGCACTGGATGATATGCATCCCAACTACTTAAGAGACTTTTGGTAAGCATTTTTAAAAAAAAACATTATTATATCTATACAAGATACTATTTCCTGTGTCGTTGATTGCAGCAACTATTGTCATATAATTCTGTGGTGTGCAGGTGATCAAAGTTCCACATCAATTATCTTTAACATCCATACTGACAGATGTTGTTATCATATATTACCAGTTGCTGGGTTTCGCCCACAAAATACACAATCAAACTGGTTTTCAGTGTATCCTGTGAAGCATTTCGATCCGTCATGATGATGTGGTAAGGCACTATATCAAATATCCAAATTATTAGTATCATTACACACATGACATTACAATTGCTGCACATTTCCCAACCCTCCAGTATACCATCAGCAGCCAAGCTGTCAGTCACTGTGTACCCTCGCCCTCAGCCACATCTCTAGAATTCTTTCCCCCAAACCCCTCCAACTCATCATCCCACTCTGTTTTCAAGCCCCTAATGAAAACCTACCTGTTCAATCTTGCCTTTGGTCAATTCCCTCCGATGCCTTACCCCTACACACCCCAAATTCCAATCTTGCTCAGGTTCCCATTCCAACCTGTGAAACACCGTAAGACATTTCCCTAGGTGAAAAGAGCTATATAAGTGCAAGTTGTTGTTGCTGTGGACAGACAGTCGTTACTTAGAGAGAATTCCAATACAGCAAAACAAACCTGGCCTCAACCAACATATGGAGTGTACTTTACAAAATGTAAACAGCACCAATTCTAGTAAAGCAGAAGATCTGCTGATCACTATCCAGTAACCCAATGGAAAATCTGAGTGAGGACAGATTTTACTTGGTTGTCCTATAAGCGCTCCATGAAGAGCGCCATATAAATGCAAGTTGTTGTTGATGCCCTTCGAATCAGAAATCTGCTGATCTTCAATGTCTGAGTTTACACATTAAAAGTGGCAGCTTGTGTGGTATACCAGAGAGCTAACAGCGTCTATGAAATGCATCTAAGCAGAAGTCAGCATCTTCAGAAGAGGAGGAAGCGAGCACATTAGCAAATACGAACACAGTGAGCGCCAGGCAGTCAGCATGGATAAAGTGCAACATTGGCAGGAACGCTACTTAACTCTTCAACTGCTTCAAAGATATCAAGGACTGGGGAGGATACTACTTCATGTTTAGCTAACTATTATAATATCACCTTCACAAACAAAATTAACTCAATGTCAAGTGAATTCTCACATGCATAGCAAAACTCAGTTCAGAAATAAAGCAGCATAGCATTGGCTGCATTCACTCTAAAAGAACTGTAACATTCTGCAATTGCCTAGATTGCAGTAGGAGCTTTACAACTTTGATCATTGCAATTTTGTTTACACCAAGCTAATGCCCAAATAAATGCCCCTAGTGTTCAATCAGTAACTTAAGTGATATTAGTATGAAGATGGATGACCTCTTTGAAGTGACACATGGGTAAACCCTGTGATGCGCACCTGACATGAAACATGCTTTATCAAATGCAAGGATTATTATTACAAGTGTGAGAACTGCTTGGAGAAGGGATGTTTTCGCGCATTGCTCAAGCCCGCCACCTGCTGTTAGGATGAGGACTGGCACTGATATGAACATTTTAAGTGGAAAATATTACTTTTAGCCCTAACCACCTGCTTTTTCTCAATACCACTTCCTTCTCCAAAAACTGCTTGGTTTGCTGAAGATGAGGGAAGAAGAAAAATCAAGGAACAAATGTAAAATAAAAATTGTCTTGAATAAAATGGATTTTCCACGAGACATATGCAATGTTTCACAAGTTCTTTGATCTTAATATCTGTTTGTTAATAGTCTGACACTTGATTTTTACTCAGGAATTTATTTGACTGGTTGTGTTATCTGCTGATCTTCACTGTGATTGTGACTCACGTGGCTGATTTACTCATGGAGAACCCAAACCTTCACACTTCTCATGTTCGCTTGTTTGCCGTGGCCATCATATTCATCTGGCTTCGACTCATGAAACATGTGCGAGCTATCAGGTTTGCCGCTTGCTTATTCCTACCATCCTACTCCCCCACACAAAATGCATCCAGACCTTTTTTTTTGTCTGCACACTGCAATTCAGATTTGAGGATATTCAAGGCAATGCAAATGCACTTTACTCATCACAAACATCTCAGCAACTCATTCAGTTCATTGAAATATTTAGGTCAGCAATAAGGGTGTGGCTACTTCATGTTTTGATAAAGCACGACAATATCAAATGTAAGGATAGGATTTTAAATGCCTTTTCCTCTCCTGTGCTGTGGACGTTTTCTGGTTGTTGGTTTTGTCTCAGTTTTTGACATTGGTTTTGTGTCAATGACACGTGAATCTGCAAGAGAAGCTCAGGTTGATTCTTCTCTTCCTTTCTCACTATGAGAAACTGCTTCCCTTTGAGACACAATGCAGCAATATGTGCTTGTTTCCACAAAAAAAACAGCAACTACTGACATTTAAAAAGGATGTGAAATCTTTCTGGCCTGGGAAACTGCACCAACGCCCATTGTGATTTTTGATTTTTAGCAGATATGAATGATACTCATTTGAATGAACGGATGACCCTTAAATATGTGTGAGTTTATACATTTGCAAAAAAAGTGTAAGGGCAATACAGTAAGTTGAACAACGTTGCACTGCTGGGGGTGTAGTGGGGCAGCTAGTTGGTTCCGTTCTGAAATAAGTGCATTGACGGTTCTTTAAACTGATTGAAAGTCCCCTCTTCCAGATTACAATCATCTGGAGATTAATACTCCTTTCATATTGCAGTTATTGAGGATTCTGGAGTCCTGAAAAACAGAACCAAGCAATTTCACATGACCTCTGGAGACCATTTTGCTTTAATTGATCTTGGGTGTGTGTGTGGACGTCTTGACACTCATTGTGTGAGCATCATGAAGATGTCACACATGCATAAATTATTAGTTTGTTGTGGGGTTTTGGGGGGTGGGGGGCTGGTTTGGTAGAAGAGTCTGGGATATGCAGCTGTAAGTTGGGTAACTTTGATTTTGTCCTTTTCCACTATTTCACTGCTGTTCTACCTGTCTCCCTATCTCTGTGATCTGCTAACTCCACATCAACCCATCCGCTCCCTCCACTCAGCAGGCTCCGGTTTGCTCCACGTCTCCTGCTCAGGCCGCCCCTAACATCGGCGGTCAGATTTTCAGTCTCTCTGCCCCCTACCCTTTGGAACTACATCCCACAGTCTCTTTGCCTCGCCCCCTCCCTTGCCTCCTTCAAGGACGTCTCAAGCGCCTCCTCTTCATCTGCACCTTCAGTCACCCTCCTACCCCTACCTTCCTTGCCTTCCATCCTCCTGATGCCAACCTCCTGCTTGGGTCCAAACCCCTAGCTGTCTTGCGTCTTCGGACAACAACAAAAACAACTTGCATTTATATAGCGCCCTTCACGCCGGACGGCGTCTCCTGACATGAAAGGAATCCTCCTGACATGAAAGGCACTATACAAACATAATTTGTTATTGTTATTTGACATTTGGAGATCAAAAAAAAACATTCTAATGGTGCTTCATTCATGCATAAACATCTTGACAGAAAAACAACTCCAAGTCAGATCTTGTGAAAGACAAGAAATCTGGCTATAGTACAATACTAGTTTCCTATGGAGATCAGTTTCACATTGAAGTCAAACTAATACCATTAAAGAGTCATAAATATTTCCTTGCATTGGTGGATTGGATATACTACTATTTTATAATTTCAATTGAATTCGTACCACATGAGATCATATCAAAGATTAGCAAACATTTATCTGACAGTAATGTGTGAGGTGCAGAATCTATCTACAAATGGAAAATTGGAAAGTATTCTCAGTACATAACCTTTCAGCCTTTTGAAATGATTTTGGTATTTTCCCATAAACATACAAATAATCAATTTGCCAACATATCTGCAGGACTTCCAAGTGTGTAGATGATTTTACATCAATGTGAGTTTTGTGAAATACTGTTCTTAATACAAAAAGCTGTGTTAGATTCAGATTAATTTTCATTTTAACTTTTTGAATTACCTTATTTTTCTAACAAGGTTATTTTTCTGGCGCAGGTCACTGGGTCCTTTCATTGTAATGCTGGGAAAGATCAGCGTTGATATCTTAAAGTTCCTCTTTCTATATGGAGAGTTTTTCGTCCCTTATGCCTGTGCATTTTGGATCATATTTGGTGGTAAGTTGTGTGCTCACTTACAAGGATTAGTGTATGGGAGTTGCACTTTAGCATTGCAGTAGTATTTTTAGTACATTTAGTAATGTATTAAAGGGTAATGCACTTGTTAGTACATTACTCAAAAGCGTTGAATCATGTATTATTACAGTGTTAGGCAATTCATACACAGGGGTCAACTCGATAGAGAAACCTGCTCTGAAAATTGGAATGTGTTCCACTCCATCGACTTCCACATTCTTTAAGAAAAATGTCCAGTTCGAAATTAATGCAAAATTGAACCACTGTGCAGTGTTATTGACATGACCATATGCCAGGAGTTAGTACCTGATAGGCTTTAAAACCTGGACACTTTTTGCAGATCAGACTCTGTAGACACTCAGTACTCAGTACTGAAGACAAATATATTTTGTTGATGGCGTAAAACAGACATTGGTAGAAAAAGGAATAAAATGGATGGGGGGAATGGAATGGGGACTAAATGCTATTAGGTAAGATAAGTGGTTAAAATCTGTCTGTCAACTGAGCACCTTGGTTGGCTAATTTTCAAGCCCGTGTCCAACTTTTAGGAAACAGCTCCATTGCCTTTCAGTGGTGAGCTAGTGAGAGAGGAAATCATTGTACAGCCTGTTGTCATGCTGTGTGAATTGGATTTTCAGAGGTTGAGAGAAATCAGTCTTCCGAGCTGAAGAAGAAAAGGTTGGCAGTAACCATCGTTCCCAGCTGGTAAATTACAAATAATAATAACAAATCTTTCCAGAAATTTATTGTTCTGTGTTATTTCCTTTCTCCAGGTCTGGTACCAAATATGACCACTGTACCACAGATGCTGTTTACCATCTTCCGTATCACACTGGTTGATGATTATGGCTTTGATGATATGTATGGACAGGACTCGGTGATGGCATATTTTCTCTGTGGGACGTTTCTTGGTCTCTCAAGCATTCTTTGTATCAATCTCCTCATAGCACTCCTTTCAGACACTTTCCAAAGGTGTGTCTTTTAGTATTCCGAGATTCTAGCCCGTGTGAAAGGGCACTATCTAAACGCAAGTTGTTGTTGTAACCTTCGTTTGAGAAAAAAATCAGAGGTAGCATAATCCATCTGAATGCCGACGTGAAAGACACTTTATAAATGCAATTTGTTGTTGTTTTAGTTAAATATACAGTTGAGAATTGTTATAACAGGGTCATTGATATCCATAAAATCCCAACCTCTAGTGAGGTGCAATAGCTGGTTTACTGTGTGCCCACAGGATCCTGCACTAAAACTGGAAAATGGCCGATGTCTGGGTCATCAGATCATATACATATTTGGTGGCCTAATGACCCAGAAGTTGGCTGATTTACCACAAAAACTGGCTGGCACGTGGGAAGCAAATGGGTCCAAAATTCTGGAAAAGCCTGTTTTCTGCAGAATTTTTCAAAATTGTTAAGACCTAATCTAAGACAATGAGGAATTTCGAGCTTTAGATGTGCTGTGTTTAGAGCTTGATAGACTGAACAACCTTGTTTTGCCATGTTTTTTCCTTCAGTGTGATGTGAATTGTTTCTGATTACTGTACCCAGGGTGTATGACAATGCAACTGCAAATGCAGCGATGCAGCAAGCGAGCATCGTGATGCAGATTGAAGAGCATCTAAATCAGAAGGACAAGAATAAATTTTGTGATTTTATTCATGAGTCATGTGCACCTTTAGGGATATTCTTTGACGATGACATGACCACTGATCAAGAGGCAGATCTCAAAAAAGTCACCATCCAAATAAAGGTAATGAGAATTTTCTGATGGATCATAATAATAATAATTTTTATTTAAAATTAAAATTTGTGAATTCTGGTAATCTGAAATCAAAATAGGCCGTGCTGGTAATTGCATTGAGTTGCTCAAAACCTTGAAAGAGAAAGATATGACCAGGCAGAAGAACTCTGTATTCTAGGCCTGACAACAGAGGCAGGGTGCTGGTGGCTGAACCAGCTTCAAGCTTGCACAGTACCACAGAAACATTTAAAAATGCAAAATTTACAGCACGTTGTACCTGTGCTGGCCCTCCACCAGAACTTTCCATTTAGTCCCATTCTCCTGCCGTTTCACCAAACCCTTTTATATTTCTCATTTTCAGATAATTATCTAATTCCCGCTTTAAAGCTATTTCAACCACAGGTGGAGGAATGTCATTTCACACACCAACAACCAGCTATGCGTAAAAAAAAAATCTATAACATCTTCCTTTGCTTTTTTACCTTACATCTGGCCTTTGTTACTAACACACCAACCAATGGGAATAATTTCTCCCACGTTTATTTTGCCAAAACCCCACAATAATTTNAAAAAAACTCTTATCAGGTCTCCTCTCAACCTTCTCTGTTCTAGGGAAAACAGCTCCAATTTCTCCAGACTTATAAACTCATAAGTTTTTTTTAAAAAAAGCTTTCATCCCTGGTACTGTATTATCTCTGGTCATGTTACATAAAGTTTGTTCACGTGCAGGAAACAGAAAGTACCCCCAATGACAACAGAATGACCCAGAAGTCAGCTATTTTAGCAGGCAGGCAGGAGCAGCTATATGTGCGCACAGTGAGTGTAGTCCACACTATAGCTGCATTATAACCAGATTTGTGCTGTAAAGGAGCACCTTATAATGGTCTGTTCTACAGTAGGATATAGTTGTGACAATGTGATGATATCTGCAGCATTTAAAATAAAGTGAATGGCATCCACTAGCTCTTTCAACGGACTGACTGTTAAATATGTCCCTGCTCAGGAGGAATTAGACGATATTGCAGCTGTAATAAAAGGAAAAGAATGGGGAAAAAATGCTTATGCAGCGAGCCCTGGAATTAAGCACTCTGAAAAGATTTCAGGCAACCTCGGTGGCCAAATTCATTCACAAGATCTGTAAGTAGATTTCAAAACATTTGGATGCCATTTGCAATGCACAAAACATTCTTTATAGTTTATGAGTCTCATCAAAGTAATTGTAAGTTATTTGATGTGCAATGCTCTAGTCAAACCATACATGGAATACTGCATTCAGTTCTGGTCGCCGTGACCTTAGAGGGACCGCCTCAAGGCAGGACAGAGCAATGAGGAGGATCCTTGGTGTTAAAGCATGAGCTATGAGCAATGATCAGATTAGTTAAGGACTCCTCAACCTGGAAAAGAGACATCCACAGGTGTGAGATGGGACCTTATAAAGCGGTATAAATTCTAAATGGGAGTGAGACAGTGACAGGAAGGATGGTTGAGACCAGAGCACTAGACTAATTTAAGAAATAGCTTAATGTTGTAAGCCGTATGGTTTTCTTCATTCAAATCTCTCTTGTGACTGAATCATGAAGTGGCTTCACCATAGGAAACAGATGTTGACATAAAGGGGTAAAAATCCCTGAGTTGAGGGTTGTGGATTTCCACATGTTGAATTTCTGATGAAGAATGGGATTGAAAGGTATGACGATATAAATAATTCAAGGTTACCCATGAATATTGCAGCCTGCAAGATTAGATCAGTATTGTGAAGATTTACTCAATTCACCTCTGGTGTTGAAGTGACTCTTTCCTAAGGAGAATAAAGCTATTTATGAGTTTGCCTTCTGAGGCAGAGGAAATTTATAAGAATCATTCTTGCATTGATAATAATCTTGTATTTGATATAGCCCCTTATCACGTCTTTGAGATGTCTCAAAACACTTCACAGAATGTACTATAAAGTGAATTGACTGTGTATTTTGTGAGCGAAATGTCAAACAGTTGGTGTTCTGCTTCCAAATACAGAAACCTTCAGTCAAGGGTTGGATCTCCTGTTGCCTCACAGTGTAGTATATCTGGAAAGACTGACACGGGTGCGGATAAGTGACAGCCGGATTTGGGCAAACTAGCACTCTACCGTATTAAACTTAATCTGTATCTGAATGATCTTTTGTAAATTGCAAAGTCCTATACATTAATTCCTTATGTTGTATGGCTATGATTGTGAAAGCTCTTACCCCATATCCCAGCAGTCAAAAGTTGAGTATGTGGTAGATGTCAGCCTCTTTGTGTGATTATACAGGAGTCTGGCTGAGTTCTCAGGCAAGTTCTGAAGCCTCTTTCACGCCAGCCGAAAAGGAACCATGCTGGTTGTATTTGGAGTTGGCTCACTTGCAAATCCCAGATTCAGATGAGTCTATGGCATTGCAGTCAAGCTGAAGTATTAGCTTCCCCACACAGACAGACAGACAGACAGACAGACTGACCTCTGTGGGTGTGCATTCAGTGTGAGTGTGGCTCGCCTCATGCTGCAGGTGCTCGCGATGGGTGATTGGTCACAATGATGAGAAAGGTAACAGCGCAGCGTATGATCAGCAGACACAATGGGGACACGGGGAGGGTTAGGGTTATCTGAAGTGGTGAGCAGGTCACTGAATACTGACTGAGTAAGTGCTGGAATCTGAGGTTTCAGGAAGGACTGTAAATGAATATTAATATAAGGCTGCAGGCTCCAATATTACTATTTAAGGTTGAAAACTGGGGGTTGGACACTACAAATTTCAAGGGTTTCTCTTAAAATTTCCTGGGGTGGAATTTTTTTGCTATTCTGAAAATTCGGAAAAAACAATAGGTTAGAGTTACATCATTCAAATATTTTGACCCAACTTTTGTCGACGGAAGGAAAGATTTTAAAAATGCATTTCGCCTCTACTTAAGAGCTCCAAGACACTACTCGTGTGAAAGGCAATATGTAAATGCAAGTTGTTGTTGTACTGAAATTATACACAAACATTCTACATTTCCGGTAAGATTACATTGAATATTATAGCATGGAAAAGGGATTTCAGCCCACTGATCAGTGCTATTCTGCATTTGCAGATCTCAACATTATTGTGAACATATCAGTTTTCTTTTTGAACACCAATTGAGGCCATCTTAACTCCTCTTGGTGAGAGTCTAGTCTAATCCACATATTCGTTTGCTGGGAGAAAACAAATCCTTCAAAGTAAAACAAATTTTACTTGCAAGCTGCAGCAGATTGCTAATAAAATAAAATAAGTGACATTTTGGGAATTTTCTGCTTGCTCCATGAGTTGATCCATTGAGACGAAAATGCAAATGAATATGCACAAACCACGGGAGCCTATGGTTCAGGTGTTGACATCTGCTGCTTTTTGCTCTTTGAGGTTGGCAGTGGAAAAATAATCATTTTTAAGAGCAAATCAGCCTTGAATACAGTTGTGTTAAACATACGGAGACCGAATACTCATACAAAATACAGTTATTACACTATACAGTAAAATACTGGGAAGCACTTTTAGACATTCTACTGACATGAAAGACAGATAGCCAATAAAGTGAATGACCAATTTTATTTTTTCCAGAAGTACCACGCAAAATCTAGCTATGCAACTAGACATTCGTGATCTGAAGCTAAAGATATCAGCTATGGATCAGGAACAAAAAAATTCAGCCTTGAAACTCAGCAGTGAATTGCAGAGAACACATGAGCTGATTAATGAGATTCTGAGGCACATTTCACCAGGTAATAACTTCATATAACAAGAGAAAAAGACTGGCAAGATTATTCATATTATTTATTGGCAGTGATCACTTTGGGTCCCAGTGAATACAAAGGTAAAATGTACAGTATACCATAACGCTTGTTAAGACAAGGAATGCATTAACGAACAACCACAAATTTGTTCCTTAACTGTTGGCATAAAGTCTCTGCGCGTACCTTAATAATGAGCATGTTGGTCCTGGCCTCTGACCCATGCAGTCGCTCCTACAGTTTAGCTCCCAGACAACAAGTAAACCTTCCCTTCCCCCATAGGAAACAACTGGTTTCCTGATATAGATTATGGCAATGCCAGTTGTAATAAAGAATGTAAAAATTTCTCAACCTCAATTCATTTTAAGCATCATCTTGGGCCTGGTTTGCCCTCCACTCTGAGTGGAGCAGACCACTTACCTGAAGAGGAGTCTCACCTGCGGGTGTTCCTTAAACTGTTCCTTAAATAAGAAAAGAAACAAGTTTAAGAACACCGCACATTTAAATGTGTTTCGTAATATATGCTGCTGGAATTGTACAAGAATCAGTTGCATTTGCCATGATAATAATATAATAACAATAATCCTTGCATTTTGATATAGCGCTTTTCACGTCTTATCGACGTCTCAAAGCGCTTTACAGAATAGACTGTAAAGTGAATTGACCATATATTTGTGGGTGAAACGCGGCAGCCAATTGCGCACAGCAGTGTCCCACAAACAGTCATGGATTGAAAATGACCAATTTATTATTGTTTTTGTTTTTTGGAGGGATTATTATTAGGCATGTGGAGTAAGGAAACTTGCCCAAGGTTTCGCCCTGCCTGGAATTGAACCCATGACATATGATGACGTAAAATATGTGCATATTTTGGAAGATCACGTGGTACTTGTGTGAAATGTAAAACAAAAGCAGTCTTCTCCAGTTTTACAGGCACAAAAGTGTTGGGTAGATGAGTTAATCAGAAGAACTCTGAGCCTTCTTTGAAATTAAAAAATATTTAGAAGTTAGACAGATTCGCACGTAATTCCTGACTGTAATTACTGAAATGCTGTACTCTGTCCAGCGCCTTGGGACGTCCTCCCGACTTGAAAGGCGCTATACAAATATAATGTTGTTGTTGTTGTAACCCTACTATCAACGTTGACCTCTACTTTCTATCACCACTAGGTACCACTGGGACATACTCATCTGACCCGCCACATGAAGCTGTCGATATGTCACACCAATGGTGAATAACAATTAGCTCGTGATTTGTATTATAATATGTCTATTTCTTCTGCTTCAGTGTTGAAACTCAATTTTCATGTACATACAGCTCTGTTGATCACGTGCAAAACTTTGTGTTCTACTTCTTATCAGTTTTAAATTAAGCTTGTACAGAAACCTTCTTGCGTTGTTAAATTCAATTTCACTTTGCAATTTCTAGTCTATTTTTAATATCTTTCTTCAGCTATCTGATGCTATTGAACTATCCAAGTGAATAATTTTCTCAATTTGCTTGAAAGAACTTTGATATGTTTCAACATGTTAAGCAGAATATCAAATGCAAGGATTATTATAGGTTTATTATTTCTGTATTCTTGACTCCAAGGTTCATCTTTTGGAAAGTCTTCTTTCTGCATTGATATTTTTCTCATCAGCAGTGACTTTCAATCTATATTGTAAACCTGTTTGGTTTACCCTCTCAGTTATCTCTTGGAATCTCTCAATCAGTCATGTATCACCAACCTACCTTCTCAATTTATCATTGATTTTGAACTAGACTTCTAAGTCATCTAGATCTAAACAGTGTCCAAATGTACTGCATAATAGAACTGACAAGATGGAAGTTAAAAGAGAACAAAGGATATCAGTTGAATTGCCATTCACCAATGTAAAGCAACAATAAATAGGATGCCTGCCTATATTGCCAAACCAATTGAGATAATTTTTCCGGATGTTGTGATCAAGCTATACAATCATTGCTCAGCCCAGGCTGGAGCTGAAGTACTTTGTACAACTGTAACAGAAAGGGACTAAAGGCAGTGCAGAGAAGAGTAATGAGGCTTATCCCCAATATTAGAGAGATAAGGAATGAATAGATAACCTAGGCCTCTTCATCCTCAAATACGATGAGTCTCAAAGGAGACCTTGCAAAGATGTATTAAACCCAGAACAATACTTTCAAATGAGCTAAGGAAGCAGAACAAATGGTCATACATTCAAGATTGTGAAGGAAGTGTTCAGCATAGATGCAAAATATTTATTTAAACATAGGTTAATCAATAGTTGAAGAGAAAAGGTTGAGGCCAGGAAGGTTGAGGCCAGGCCAATGGATTAATTTGAGAAGTAGCCAGTACTGTGGTGAGAAGATTGTAGGGTTTGTATTGGTAAAAGATGAGCCAAAGTGCCTTCTTTTACTCTACCAGGCTTCACACCCCAATCACCTCAGTCAGTTCTTGCCACGCTCCAGTGGCTCCCTGTTGCAAAATGGATAGATTTCAAAATCCTCACTTTCACTGTAAATTCTCTTCACACCCTGGCACCTACTTATCTCTCCGATCTCCTCACACCCCACTCTTCTATCCACTGCCTTTGTGAGCTGGATCAGCTCTTCTGCACATCTCTGATCCTCTCTGCTCCACAACTGAAATCTGTGCTGTCAGCCATTATGCACCAAATATCTGGAACTCCTCCTCAATCCCTCTCCTTCCCCCCTCTTTGTCTGTGCCTTTGACCGTGCCTTTGGTCACTTCCCCTCCCTTTCCAGCTCGACATCAAACCATGCCTCTGTTAAGCGCTCCAAGAGGCTATCCATGTGAAGGGGTCTATATAAATGCAAGTTGTTCTTCTTATTCATCATTCGTGGAGTCCTGTAGCTCAGTGGTTAGAGCACTCGCTTTGCAAGTGAGAGACCTGAGTTCAATTCCAGGCAGGGCGAAACCTTGGGCAAGTTTCCTTACTCCACACTCCTAATAATAATCTCTCCAAAACCAAAAACAATAATAAATTGGTCATTTTCAATCTACGACTGTTTGTGGGACATTGCTGTGCGCAATTGGCTGCCGCGTTCGCCCACAAATATACAGTCAATTCACTTTACAGTGTGTTCTGTGAAGCGCTTTGGGACGTCCTCCCGACGTGAAAAGCGCTATATCAAATGCAAGGATTATTATTATTATTATTATTATATCAAATGCAAGTATTATTATTATTATTATTATTATTATTCAAGCCATTTGTGATATTTTTCCCCATATTTTCCATATAATGTGGCTACATACAGTCAAAAAAAAGTGCTTGTTGGAAAAATGGTCATTTGTTTCATTAGTGTTGTGCCAAATTGGCTGCCGTATTGTCCCACAAAACACATGATCATTCCACTTTACAGTACATCATGTGAAATGTTTTGGGACATCCTACAGATGTGAAAGGCACTGTACCAAATGAAAGTATTATTAATAATAAAATGGTAGCTTAAATTGTGACTTTCACTGAAAAATGCACCTTGGGATGTAAAATCCTCATTGTGAGAGTTACTATTATTTTTAAGCAGTTTGTGAATAGTTAAACTAAACATTTACTAAAATCCAAGTGATAGCATTCATAAAGGTGTGGAGGTATCATTTTAGTATCAATTCATCCTAACAATGATCTTTGCACTTTCATGTCTGGAGGATCTCTCAGAGCACTTAACAGGATTTATTGTAAAGTGCAGTTCCTGTGTATTTGTAGACAAACTTATTAATTACTTATTAGTAATTCACTTATTACTAGATTATACTCTATTGTACTTACAAAAATGCGTGTTTTTTGTATGGCTTACTGTGTTTTCTGCCTCTACTTAGATTGTTCGGCAAATAGGCAATTATTTGCCTCCAGATATACGACAATCAGCACAAAGTGAGTTTCCTTTGTGGACAGAACCAAATTGAGAAACCCCATCAGAACACGATAGCCTCTGAAGAAATATCAACACAAACATATTCTTTTTACCCAAAGTGTACTTTATTTGTAAAGGATGGTTGCAAAGATTGACATCTACTGATAGAATTCTTGGAGACTGAAGTCTAACTGTTAGAAAAACAAAACTGTTTTTGTTTATTGTATGACTAATAAAATTAGCTGTTTGTTGGACATTTACTGCATTTGCCCACAAAATACAGTCATATCACTTTATAGTATATCCTGTGAAGTGCTTTGAGACATTCTCTTGCCGTGAAAGATGCTGCATCAGGTGTAAGGATTATTACTATTATTTTAGCATAAAGAATGGATACTCAAATTATGTCTGTGCTCATTTATAAACATCATCTCCTGGTGTTTAGTGAGTGTTTAATTTAATTATTAACAAACTGCACAAAAATAATTGTAAACGTCAAATTCCAATTTCCAGAGATTGGGGTGGAGGGTTGGGGAGGGGGGTGTGGGTGGAGCTTAAGTTTTTACTCAGGTGTTCGGCCAAAATAATAAAACTCATAACGAATATACTTTTCAAGTCTGTCAGCACATTAAAATGAGGGATTTCTACTGGATTGTATTTTGGCAATATCTCATTGCACTGTTTTTCTCCACAATGTCTCATTGTAATTGTTTTCTGAAACCACCACACCTCCCCCAGCTTCATGAAGCAGGTAATAACCACAAGTTAGGATTGTTTTACTGCATGCTATTGAAATGATAATGCACCAGAATAAATGTCACAGCTGCATATTTCAGGTGTCAGTTCCCTCACTACGACTTGCCTGGCCAACAATTCCCCAGATAAAAAAATGTCATTCACTTCATGGCTATTTGTGGGACATTGCCCTGTGTAAATTGACTGCTATGTTCACTTACAAAATACACAGTCGATACATTTCACAGTGAATCATCAGGGGTCTGGCTGCCCAGGCCTTAGAGGCAGTGCAGAGGTGAACATCAGGATGATCCCCAGTGTTAGAGGAATGAGGTACAAAACGATTGGAAACGTGCGAAAAACCGAGGCCCTCCTGATTGGCTCACGTCAGCGCCTCCGCACCTCAGGCGCCGACACCATCAGCATCCAAGGCCGCACTCTCCACCTCTCAAAGCCGGTCAGGAACCTCGGCGTTTTGTTCGACCCTGAGCTGTCCTTTCTCCCTCACATCCGCACCACAACTGGCACCGCCTTCCATCACCTCCGGAACATCGCCAGACTACGGCATTACCTCACCCCTCACGCTGCTGAAACCCTGGTCCACGCCTTTATCATCTCAAGGCTGGACTATGGGAACTCTCTCCTCGTCGGCCTTCCCGCCACCTCCCTCCACAAGCTGCAGGTCATTCAGAACTCTGCAGCTCGTGTACTGTCCCGCACCAGGCTTCGCGACCACATCACTCACACCCTCGCTCGCCTCCACTGGCTCCCCATCCCCCAGAGGATCAAATTAAAGATCCTCATCCTCACCTACAAGGCCATTCACGGCCTCGCTCCCTCCTACCTCTCCAACCTACTATCCCCCTACTTACCTGCCCGTACTCTCCGTTCCTCCGGCTCCGGTCTGCTCCACGTCCCCCGCCCCAACCGCCCTACCATCGGTGGTCGGCCTTCAGCCTCTCAGCCCCGAGGCTCTGGAACTCCATCCCCCAGTGCCTTCGCCGCCTCCTCCCTTTCCTCCTTCAAGGCCGGTCTCAAGACCTTTCTCTTTGACCGAGCCTTCAGCTCCCCTCTCGACTCTCTACCCCCTCCTCGCTCCCTCCCTCCCTTCCCTCACCCTGACCATTTCCCCCCTCCTCGCTCCCTCCTTCCCTCCCCTCACCCTGACCATTTCCCCCCTCCTCGCTCCCTCCCTTCCCTCCCCTCACCCTGACCATTTCCCCCCTGCTCGGGTCATGACCCAACTGTGCAGCGCCTTGGGACGTCCTCCTGACGTGAAAGGCGCTTTATAAATGGAATCTTGTTGTTGTTGTTGTTGTTGTTGAAACGCTCTTCAGTTTGAAGAGAAGATGTCTCAGAGGAAGCTTTTATAGAGGTGTTTAAAATTTTAGATGGGATTGAAATACTAAATACAGAATAATACTTTAGGATGCACCAAGGCAGGAGAACGGGAGGGTTTAGAGTAGCCTAGAGGAATTTCAGGATGGTAATTATTAACTGGAGGAGGTTGTCAGAAAGTGTGTTTGAGACCAGGAAACTGGATTCATTTTTTTAAAAAAAAAGTCAATACTGTGATGGGAGGCTGCTTCTCCCACTTTCCTGTTATCTGACATCTACACAAACAATTATCATGTCCGATGGTAAGTTACATTTTTGAAAAAAACATTCAAGTCTTTGAATGGCACTGTAGCTACTTTTAGACTGCCTCGCAACATGCTGAATTTGTTTACTATAGTTGTAACACTTAATGCGTATATTTGCAAAAATTTGCCATTCCAATTGATACGGTTGTATTGGTGTTTCTTGTTTTGTGCCAAGAAATGGACATTGCGATTTACTGAAATCTTTCATAAGAACTATAAGTGTATATGTTTTGGGTTTAGGTGTCTAACCTTGTTTTCATTCTATGTTCCATTGTTTCTTTTGCAGAGTCAAACAAGTTGCAGAAGTTTTATTTCTTATTGTTAAGGCAGTACTTTCTGCATTGCTGGAGGTGCCATCCTTCAGATGAGACATTAAACCGAACCCCGGTCAGATGGGCATTAAAGGTGGCACTATTCAAAAAGAGAAGGGAGTTTCTTCCAGTATCCGAGCCAACAATCCACCAAATAAAATTGGTCATTCATTTTCATGGCTGTTTGTGAGACACTCCTGTACACAAGCACTGCTGCATTTGCTTACAGAACACACAGTCACTGTATTTTACATTATATACTGTGAAGCGCTTTGGGGTGTCCTCCAGACATGAAGGCACTAGACCAAATGTAAGGATTGTGATTATTACTTTTGAATAAGTATAACTAACTGCTAAATAGATGTCTTAACTTTCCACTAGTATCACTTTTAATGTGGTTCTCTCTTTTTCACCAATTGTCTGTGTGTTTCCCTCCCAAAGGCATTGACTCATGCTGGTATATGATTGAAAGGCAAATGGCACCAATCCAATACCTCTTTCAAGTTGTTATTTCTTCATATGTGAACCTAAACCGTGCATGTAACAAGCTAGTCAACCAATGGAAGGCATTTCAGCAGAGCTTGATTTCAATTCCTATCTAGGGTGCATGCTCTCAGTCTTAAGACCATTAACGTAATAATTAAGAATGTGCAGAATTTTGGAAAATTCAGAGATTTAATATGGAAGCTGCTTTTCAACAACAAGCTTACACATTAAGACTGAATTTAATATGAACAATCTTGCACATTTGGATCAGTCCTAAGACCATGTGAAAATTCAGCCCATTCATATGAAGTATGCAGGAGGAGTTACTGCACAGTAGTTGATTTTTCTCCTCCTGAGCCAAGGGGCACTGAAGCCAATTATAGCACACCTTCTGCCACGCTGATGGAGATCAGCTAACTTGGCACACTTTGTATTTTTATGAAGAACAGGGTAAATAATACTGGTGAAATATTTTCCTTTCCTTCAAAATTCTTGAAGCTTCTTCAAAGTATATTCTATCCAAAACATTCCTCGTACTTGACATAACATCTCAATACATCATTGAGACATCTCAAAGCACTTCAAGCATTTTCCTGTGAAGTGTAGTGACTGTATATCAGCGAATACAGTCGCCAATTTGTACACAGCATTGTCCCACAAACAGCCATGAAGTAAGTGACCAATTTTATTTTATTCCACACAAGATATATAAAATAATCCTTTAATATTGCAAGAGTAAAATATGAAAAATCGTGTAGAAAAAACCATAGTAATAGATGTAAGATAACAATAATCCTTGCATTTGATATAGCACCTTACCATGTCATCGAGACGTGTGAAAGCGCTTCACAGGATTTACTGTAAAGTAGATTTACTGTGTATTTTGTGGGAGAGATGTGGCAGCCAATTTGCACAGAGAAATATCCCACAAACAGCCATGGAGTGAATGACCAATTTTATTTGGGGGTTTATTGACCAGAATACTTGCAGAAATTCTCTTCTCTTTTTGAATATTGCCATGGGATCTTTAACGTCCATCTGAACGGGCCAACGACACCTTGGTTTAACATTTCATCCGAAGGACGGCACCTCCGACAATGCAACACAGTGCTAGCCCTGCATTGGAGTGTCAGCTTAGACTATGTGATTCCAATTCCTGGTTTGGGGCTTGAACCCACAACCTTTTGACTCAGAGGCAAGTCTACCTCGGAGGATACAACTGCGCCAGACTGACACACACATGTAGATTAGATTTGAGGTTTACACAGAGCAACATAGACCTTCTGATGTAATGTTAGAACCTATCAAAAGAGCACTATTATTTGGTGATGTATCCTATAATTTATAAGATTATAAACATTTGCCATATGCAATGACATGATAGATGACAATCAATGCCTTTGTAAATCTATAAGGTTGAACTGAAACAAGAAAAATAGTGGATTGCTATGGATTTAATAGTAGTTAAGATGTTAAGAGGTTTAGCAGATTTTTTTTAGAGCAGGTTATTTTTATCTCCTTCATGAAGTTAACCTTTATGAGAATTTCTCCAACATTCAGGGGTCAGCCTGGCTCAGTTGGCAGTACTCTTAATTTCTGAGTCCGAAGGTTAAGGGTTCAAGCTCCACATCACAACAAAGCTCAGTTAATGGCAAATTAATGTTGTGAAAGTGATCTTCTTACGGAAGACAAATGTTAAGTGTATTCTTCCCTGCAGTGCAGATTATTTGACAAAATGACCATTTAATGTTGATATTTGGATGTTTACTGGATTGAAAATGAACTCCAATGAAGGTATTTGGTACAAGATTGATTGTAATTAACATATTTTGTCAAATGGATTGTTTTTTGGTTTAATTTTCGCGGGAGTGTCTTACATCACAACATAATAGGAAACGATTGCTGATCTGCGAAGGGATTAGGACTTGAATGATTTCTTGAGCTTGTAGTTCAGTTTGGTCAATGGTCTTTTTGTAACCCTTCATGTTTTATTTCTGGATCACATTCTGAAATTATGATAATTTTCAGTTCAAGG